ATTTAGCATGGTATGATACAGTGTGGTATGATACAGTATGGTATGATACAGTGTGGTATGATATAGTGTGATAATATAGTGCGGTAATATAGTGCAGTATGATACAGTGTGGTCTGATTTAGCGTGGTATGATACAGTGTGGTATGATACAGTGTGGTGTGATACAGTGTGATGTGACACAGTGTGGTATAATACAGTGTTGTATGATATAGTGTGGTATATCATAGTGTGGTATATCATAGTGTGGTATGAGCTCAGTGGGGTCTGATTTAGCGTGGTATGATGCAGTGTGGTATGATACAGTGGTATGATAGAGTGTGATAATATTGTGGTAATATGGTGTGGTATGATACAGTGTGGTATGATAGAGTGTGGTATAATACAGTGTGGTATGATTGTGATAATTTTGTGTGGTATGATACAGTGTGGTCTGATTTAGCATGGTATGATACAGTGTGGTCTGATTTAGCATGGTATGATACAGTGTGGTATGATACAGTGTGGTATGATAGAGTGTGATTATATAGTGTGGTATGATACACTGTGGTCTGATTTAGCATGGTGTGATACAGTGTGGTATGATACAGTGTGATATGAAACAGTGTGATATGATCCAGTGTGATATGATACAGTTTGGTATGAGACTGTGTGCCGGTGTAGCATGGCATGTTGTTGTATCTGATGATGTGGCATGGCATGGTGTAACAACTCATGGTGTGGCATGGCATGTCATGGAGTGGCATGACATTTTTCCGCATGGCATGGCATGTCATGGCGTGGCATGGCATGGCGTGGCATGTCATGAGTTGGCATGGCATGGCGCGACATGGCATGGCGTGGCATGGCATGGTGTGGCATGGCATGGTGTGGCATGGGATGGCGTGGCATGGCGTCGTTTGGCATGCCATGGTGTGGCATAGCATGATGTGGCATAGCATGATGTGGCATGGCATGATGTGGCATGGCATGATGTGGCATGGCATGATGTGGCATGGCATGATGTGGCATGGCATGATGTGGCATGGCATGATGCCATCTGCAGGCTGGCAGCAGCTGGAGGGAAGAGAAGAGAAGCTTGATGGAAGGCAAAGAGGACACTGTGGGAGGGAAGGGGAGGGAAGAGGAGTGGAGGAGTGGAGGTGTGGCATGCAGAAAACATGCCGCCACTCTGCCCTAAACTTGTGAAATGGGATCTGAGTCTGCTCAGAGCTCAGTGTGTGTTTATGGACAAACAATATGGCTATGCGCCCCATGTACGGTAGCTCTGGCATTCAAATATTATGTGTCTTGTGTAGTCGTTGTAATGTTTCAACAGTGTACCGCCAATAGATATACCTTACCTGAGGTTTTGTTACTGGGCAATATTTCCCCATGAACTTCACATGAACTCTTGTAGTAGTGCATTTATGTAGAGACATGCTATGTGCTATTTCGTACATTGCTGGTACCAGAGTAGCAAGTCTTCAACCCAACGTTGTACCTTCAATCCAGGATATGACATGATACATACTGGTATGCAACGCATGTACGGTAAGTGGAATAATCTACCACCGGTACCAGGAGGCCTAGGATCCATGGCCACACCATTCCATATTGGCCTGCACATGCATTGCCTGGCAGCTACCATACCTACCAGATACCAAGTGACTGGAACTCAGTCGAATCATGAGTAGATGACCCTAATCCTGGTGCAACAGCCATCTTTGACTGCAACCAAAACATAACCAAGAAAGCAACACCAACATTGCCTCCTCTCCTCTTCCACCCTGCATCCCACCTCGAACTTCAAGCCCTTTCCCCCGCTATTCCCCGCCAACTCCCTCCACTTCTTAACCCCTACCCTCCAGCCTCTTTCCCCTACTCCCCAACTCCCTCACCCCGAGAACCCTCTCCGGTACTTGCCCTTGCCCACCACGCCCCACGGCAGGCGCCCTGAGAACAGCTGCGAGGAGCACGTGGTGAAGAGCGCAGCCATCTCCTTACACCCACTGGGATACGGCACCACGCGCACAAACGGGTCTCTCAGCCTCCGCTTCTGCCCCAGCGCTCCCCCGCACCCGTATGGCTCCTTCTCAAATGCTGCGAGCGTGCGCGCCTCGCCCTTGGCTGCGGATTCGCGGGCTGACTGGGCGATGGGCGAGCCGAGGAAGGAGAAGCGGTGTGAGGGGAAGCGCAGCGCCCCGCGGTGCATCTGGGAGAAGCGGAACTTCTTGAAATCGTAGCTCACGACCTGGGGGGGTGTGGGGATTAAGGGAGGGGGTCGAGAGAGGGGGGATGAGAGGAGGAAACGAAAGGGTGTTGGGGGCGGGAGGAGGAGGTGAGAAGTGGAGGGATGACGGTATCAGGAAATCGTTAAGGATTGGGAGCAGCAGAGGAGCGAACATTACATCGACATGATACCGCCGAGCACAGCGCCACGCACGTACAGTGATGTTGTCGGGATATGCCCCTGTGAGTTGGCGGAAGCGGCACACGCTGAACAGCAGGTTCTCAAAGCTGTCCCTTGCATACTCCTCTGTCAGCGCCCTCCCTCTCACCTCCGTGTGCCCTGTGTTCACATGCCATGCGTTCACATGCCATGCATTCACATGCCATGCATTCACACGCCATGCGTTCAGAGGCAGCACGGGGTAGGGTAAGGTTGGAGAAGGGGAGGAGGCCAGGGCTACATGCACATGCTTGAGGGCACCAGCAGCTATCCGCGGAATGAGTGGGGCAATGGACGGCAGAGAGCGGTGGGATGGATACGGAGTAGTGGTGGCAGAACCAGGGTCTGTGAAGAAACTATGAGAAAGCTGAATGGCTAGGATGAGTTGAACAATGACCAGATTCAGCTCATCTACCACCCGCCTTCTGAATCGCGTCACCACTTCCCACCCTTCCCCTTTCCGCTTCATTCCTCTCTCCCCTTCCCCATCCCTCTCGATCCAAGCCCTGCAGTCCCCTTACCAAACCAGCTCAGCTTCTCCGCAGCGTTCCAGTAGCTCTGCGCCTCGCTCCGCGGCCCCGCATCCCTGCGCGTCTCCCCGCCGCTGAACAGCAGCAGCGCGCTGCTATCCTCCGCCGCGGCCGACACTCCGAGCCGTATATGCTCCACGAACGACGACGCTGCGCCGGAATTCAGCTGGTACGGCTCGAGATGCCACGACTGATCCGCATCTAGCGGCGCACAAGACGGGCTGGTGTACACAGAGTGACCGGCGACGAGGATGAGATTGGTGAGAGGAGCGAAGGGGAACGGGGACAGAGGGTCCGACGCTGCTCCCTGCTGCTGCTGCGAGTCCGACGCTGCTGCGCCGTCGATGGTTGAGTCGGCAGCGGAGCGGGCGAATCGGAATCGCGAGAGGGGGATGAGAGCGTGCGTGAAGTGCGTGAGCGACGCGAGGCCGATGACAACCAGCAGAGCTATGACGAGAAAGGGGTAGAAGAAGCGCGGGGACGGGGTGATGAGGGAGGAGATGATGGAGAGCACGGGGGACGAGGGGAGGTTATGCGAGTGGTGCGCGTGGCGACCGTGGTGCGTGGAGTGGTACAGATGGTGAAAAGCGCGGCGGCCGCGATGGCCTTGCGGGGACATTCCCGAGGGCAGCATCGTGACTCGTGGCGCTGGAGCGTGGACGGATGAGATTGATTGCCTCAAATTCGACCGGATTAGATTGACTTGGATCGAATCATATCAAATTCCTCCTCCTTGTACTCCCGCCAGACGCGCCAGACTGGAGGAAACCTTCACGTCAACGAAAGGACGCTCTCTTGAATGACCTGCCACAGGCACATCACTACTAGCGCGTCATAAGCACGATTGACGCCCACTGGTCTTCGCCAGGTTGCTGGCGCTATTGCTCCGCGCTCTTCCAATTTCTCGACTTCATCGAATTACGAGGCAGTACCCGCGGCTCGCCCTCAAACGGCCTCATGACCCAGCGAAAGCTACACAAGATCCTCCTAAGCTCCAACGATCGCAATTTCCCGCAACGATCGCTCGTGGTAGGACACAATTGGAGATAAATAGTGACAATGGAGAGCTAGGGTGCGCCAATGGTCCAATTTCGAGAGGCGATGTGCCAGAGTGGAAGTGTGGAATGAGAGGTGTTGCGAGATCGGACGGCACTCGCTCATGAACTGTCATGAAGCAGACGAGACTCGAGGCAACGATCAAGTGCAAAACAGGCTTCAGTGGTGTGTGTGTGGTGTGGTTGTGTTGTGTGTTGTGTGCCATGGTGAGCAGGTGGTAAGGCCAGTGAATGGCAGTGACTGGTGATTGAGTTTCAACAACCAATGATCGAACGGCCCTAAATCAAGGATGATTCAGTAGTGATTGGGCCTAGAAGGAGAAGGCACTTCGCGGTTCGAATTCACCTAGAAGTTGACCTGCCCAATGAATCTGTACTCACTTCACGGTGGCTCGCTTGCTAGGTTCAAATATCACGACCCTTTGAATTTACGCTCTCGGCTTGTACAGTTTGCTGGTTAGATAAATATGATCAATCAGAATAAAATGATATATAAATATATTGCGTTACACATTCTGCTCTTGGTATGTGACTCCAAGCACCTGGGTCAAATTTTGGCGCGAAAGTATTTCCTGTGCAACTCTCAAGGCTTCCAACCTTGAAAACTTCGTCAGAGTGGCTCCTCGCAGGAAACAGGATTCGTTTGTGCCAGAAACTTGGGCCATCTCACCTCGTCTTGTAGGGCACAGCGTTGTGGAAGAATAAAGAGAGCTGAAAGGTTACAGCTTCTCACACAACGCTGGGCTTGAGAGGGAGATTGTCATCTGACCGTGCAGCCCACGCTCATCATAACAATAAAGAATCCTTCTTGTGAATTATTTCGCATTTGTGAATTCGGGTCCTGCCGATGCGGCACCTCCAATCTCTTGCTAGTGTCCTAACAGAGCACGTGTTACGATCCAGTAGGCGAGGACACACGCTAGCTGCTATTGCTCTCCTATCATCCAATACGAACAACGCCGCACACTCGCTGTAGGCGACCTTGCGATGTCTTATTATAAAAAGGGCCGTTCCGCGCAAGGCAGTGCGCGCGCTGGGGGCGGAGCTGCAGGCGGCGGGGCGGGGGGGGACGGCAGAAAAGCATGGGGAGGGCGGCGCGGTATGGGGCAAGGCGCGAGCGCCGGCGACGACGAGGTGGAGACGGCTTTTGGATTCGTTAATTTCACGGAGGGAGATCCGCGGCTCGGATGGCTGTTAAACATGAGCTCGGTGAGGGGAATGGTTCCGTCACAGGAGGGATTGAGTGCTGGGAGATGGAGGATTTTGAATGATTTTCGCTGTACAGACGAGCCCGCAGGAGGAATGGCGGTGGCTGAGTATGATAGGCATAGAAAGGGGTGCCGGATTTGAACGGAGGGAGAACAAGGACGAGCGCAGGCGTTGTTAGCCTGTTCATCTCTTGAACGTGGCATAACGTTTGCTGTGTGGCGCATGAAGATCTGATTCCTAGACTTGTCACTGTATTTCCTGACAGTCAATTCCGTCTGTGAATCTTGATTGCGCGCGTGTTCCTGCGCGTGTTCCTGCTCCTGCTCCTGATCCTGCTCCTGCGTGTGCACGTGCAGGCATCGGTGGAGGAGCCCGAGACGTCCACCATGTGCAGCTGCGTGAACCTCTACTTCATGTGCCAGGTGCTGCGCCACGCTCGCTCGCTCGCTGCTCTCACTCTCACCACATGCACGCAGTCGCACTCCGTCACATGGATCGGGCATAATTCGGGCTTGTTTTAGTTTCATCTGTGCATGCGTGGGTGGATGCCTGGATGGTCAGTGGGTCGGTTGGATGGACAGTTGGTTGGCTCGCAGGCTCGATGGATGGATGGATGGATGGATGGATGGATGGATGGATGGATGGATGGATGGATGGATGGATGGATGGATGGATGGATGGATGGATGGGTAATTGGATGGATGGATATGTGCTTGTTTTCCTTGCAAGGATCATGCCGGCTTGCAGTCATCTCTGATGACAACGTCTTTTCAGACTCACTGCTTCGCTCTCAGTTGTTCCCAAACATTCTGTCTTCCCTCTCCCAACACCTGTTCTCCATGATTGCCTGTCCTCAACCTGATTGCCCATGCCCTTTCTCCCCCCACTACCAGAACGGCTCCACGTTCAAGGCACAAGTCAAATACGAGCCATACTTTTATATCGCCGCCAAGGTAATACTCGTTCTTTTTCTCATCAATGCAACTGGTAAATTCTGTTTTTCTCGATGAAACCACTGCAGCATGGCTGAGCATCTTGGCTTAGCCAACTCAGTTCGTTGTAGTCTGAGTAACATGTGTGTGTGTGTGTGTGTGTGTGTGTGTGTGTGGGTGTCCGCACGCATGTGAATGTGTGAACGTGTGTGTGAGTGTGTGAATATGTGTGTGTTTGGATGTGTGTATGTGTGTGTGTGTTTGTGTGTGTGTGTGTGTGTGTGTGTGTGTATGTGTGTGTGAGTGAGTGAGTGCACGTGTCCACATGGGGTGGCAGGAGCGCAGGGAGATGGAGGTGGACGCGTATCTGCGCCGCAAGCACGAGGGCCTCATCACGGGCATCGAGGCCGTGGAGAAAGAAGACCTGGACCTTGTACGTGCTGCATGCGTGTAGTCTTTGCCAGGACTCAGGCATATACACCACACACCACAGCAGATGTTGTTTCTGGTGTCTGTGCTGCGGAATGATTCGAGTTCGAAGCAGGCAGATACAGCGCTGTGGCGTCAATTTTCACTTGTCTTGTTGCCAAGCTTACCATCTGACGACCACCATTCTTCTCCTGCATCTCCTCCCGCGCTGCTCCTCCCCCCTGCGTGGCCTGGCAGCCGAATCACCTGTCGGGGCGGCGGCGTGTGTACCTGAAGGTGTGCTTTGCGAACGTGCAGAACCTGATGGAGGTGCGGAGGGATGTGCTGGCTGTGGTGGAGCGCAACAAGACCCGCGCACAGGCCGCTGGCGCATACGGATCATTCGAAGGCATCAACCTCTCGCTGCTGTGAGTCCTGCTGCTGCTCCTACTCTTGCTTCACTTTTGCTGCTGCTGCTGCTGCACTTGCTCTCCTCTTTTGCAGCTGCCTCTGCTAGTGCTGCTGCTTCTGCCGCCGTTGCTCCCGCCCTTGCTGCGGCCGCTGCTGCCACTGCTTCTGGTGCTGCTGTGACACGCAACAGGAAAACCGCTGCTATGCTACCCTGCAATTAATCTCCCTTCGGGCTGTCTCCCCCTGGTTCCAGCACAGGGGCGACGGGAATGAGTGGGGCAGGGAGCGGCATGGGGTCGGGGTACGGGCAGCAGTACCTGCATGCAACATCGGAGTCCCACAAGGCGGTGCATGCAGGGCTGCAGCAGGAGGGCGCTGAGTCGCTCATGGTTGACATTAGGGAATACGACGTGCCCTACCACATGCGCTTCGCCATTGACAAGAGTAGGCTCACATCCGTCTCTCTCACGCCTGTTGGGTTGGGTGTGCGTGATAGCCGCAACGCAGCCTTATCCCTCGGTCTGGGGAATTCCTTTGGAAGGAGTGAGGTGCAGCTTTTATTCCTTGCGTTGCTTCTGCTGTATGTCAAGGAGCTGGTGGCTGGCCTTACCATGTGCTCACTCTGACCTCATCGCCCTCCTTGCATCCCTCCTCTCGCTCTCCTCCTCCCTCACTCCCATGCACCATCACCCCACCCCTTCTCTCCCTCCCCTCCTCCCTCCCCTTTCCTCACTTTCCTCCCCTCCCCTTCTCCCTTCCCTTTCCTCACTTTCCTCTGCTCCCTGCTCTCTGCTTGCCCCCGTCCCCTCTTATACCACCCTCCCGGGTGGCAAGCAGACGTGAGGTGTGGGTGGTGGTTCACAGTGGCCATAGACGCGGGCAACATCACGCTCACGCACCGCCCCGACCTCATCCGCAGCCCTGAGCCGCGCGTGTGTGCGTTCGACATAGAGACAACCAAGCTGCCGCTCAAGTTCCCCGACGCGTCCTTTGACCTCATCTTCATGCTCTCCTACATGATCGACGGCAAGGGATACCTGCTCGTCAACCGGGAAGTGAGTCTGCCTGCATGCACGTGCAGCGATGACCTTTGAGTTGACTCAAAAGCCGACGCGTCCTTTGACCTCATCTTCATGCTCTCGTACATGATCGACGGCAAGGGCTACCTGCTCGTCAACCGTGAGGTGAGTCTGCTAACCTGCATGCCGATGCCGCAATGCCTGTATCGCTCGTGAGAATCATTCAACCATGCATGATGTCTGCTACATGCCGTAGTATGCTAATGCTAGACGTATCTGTATCTGTATCTGTATGCGCACTGCCCTTCTTCTCCCCCAACCCGGCAGGTGGTGGGCGAGGACATAAAGGACCTAGAGTACACGCCGAAGCCGGAGTTCCAGGGGCCGTTCCACGTGACCAACGTGGAGAACGAGGAGCAGCTGCTCAAGCGCTGGTTCGCCCACATGCGCGCTGAGCGCCCCGGCATATATGTCACGTACAACGGAGACTTCTTTGACTGGCCGTTTATCGAGCAGCGCGCTGCTACACATGGCATGTCGCTGCTGCAGGTGTGTGTAAAGGGGGGTGGGAGAGGGGGGAGGAGGGGTGGGGGGAGAGGGGGGAACGGGTGGGGGGAGAGGGGGGAACGGGTGCGGGGGGGGAGGCGGGGGGAGAGGGGGGAAGGGGGGTGAAGAGAGGGGGGGTGGGGGGAGAGGGGGGTGTGCGTGTGTGTGTACGCACGTGTGCGCGTGTGTGTGACTGTGTGTGTCTGCGTGCGCACGCGTGTGGGCCGTGTGCCTCTCGTTCCCTTGCGTGTCCCCTGCATGCTGTGTGATGTGATGTATGCGTGCGCCTCTGCCCCTGCAGGCTATTGCCTTTGGGATGATGTCACTCTTGTTGCACGCAATGTAAGGCACATTTTTCTCCCTTCCTCCTCCTCCCCTCCTCCCTCCCACTTCCTTTTTTCCATATTCCTGCCTTTCCTCTCCATGCCATCACCCGTTTGCTGTCTTTCTATGCACTACTGCTCATCCTACCGCCCACCTAATCTCTTCCTCTCTTGTTTCTCCTCTTCCCGCTCCCGCCTCTTCTATGTAACCCCGCTCCTCCACGCCCCGTGCATGTCCCCTATGCGTCCAACAGGAGATGGGGTTCAAGTGCGATGCGGTGAGTGGGGAGTGTCGCAGCCGCTTTGTGTGTCACCTGGACGCGTTTGCATGGGTGCGGAGGGACAGCTACCTGCCGCAGGGGTCGCAGGGTCTCAAGGCAGTCACACGCGCCAAGCTGGGGTACGACCCCCATGAGGTGGATGCAGAGGACATGGTGCGCTTCGCCCGTGAGCAGCCGCAGGTGAGAGACGGTTGAGGGGAATGGGGTGGTGGGAAAGAGGCAGGCTGGATTGGGGGCATGTCCAGGTCGCAGGGCCTCAAGGCGGTCACGAGGGCGAAGCTGGGGTACGACCCCCATGAGGTGGATGCAGAGGACATGGTGCGCTTCGCCCGTGAGCAGCCGCAGGTGAGAGGGTTGAGCGGGACGGGGTGGCGGGGAAGGGCAAGGCGGATATTGAAAGAGGAGTTTGGGGGGAGGAAGTTTGTGGGTGTGGGGGGGTATGCGTGGAGAGGAGAGTTTACCTGGTGGCTGTTGTTATTCTTCTCCATCTTTGCATTCGGTTGCGCTTGCTTGTATGCATCGCCCGTTCCCTTATTGCGTGTTCACTCTTCTTCCCTTTTCTCTCTCATGCCATCTTGATTTACCCCCCACCCCACTCCACTCCACTCCACTCCGTCCCACCCCACCCCACCCCACTCCGCCCCACCCCACCCCACCCCACCCCACCCCACCCCACCCCATCCTGCCCCACTCCACTCCACCCCACCCCACCCCACCCCTGCCCCACCCTCGTCTCCAGGTGATGGCGTCCTACTCAGTATCCGACGCACTGGCGACGTACTTCCTGTACAAGACGTACGTGCACCCGTTCATCTTCTCACTCGCCACCATCATCCCCATGCCGCCCGACGAGGTGCTGCGCAAGGGCTCCGGCACACTCTGCGAGACACTGCTCATGGTGGAGGTGAGACGTGCGGTGCAGTGCTGTGCAGTGCTGTGTTGTGCTCGGTGTGCTGTGCTGCAGTGCTGCTACTTCTGTGATGCTGCACATGTTTCCCCTCGATCCGTCAGTTGCATAACTCGTATCACTCATTCCTCTCCCGTCTATGATGTCTGCATTTGTCTGCATTTCTGTCAGGCGTACCGCAGCAACATCGTGTGTCCCAACAAGCACGTGGATGCAGTGGAGCGGTTCCACAGCAACAGGCTGCTGGAGAGCGAGACGTACATCGGAGGCCACGTGGAGTGCCTGGAGAGTGGGGTCTTCCGCTCCGACATCCCCACCAAGTTCCGCCTGCACCCCCCCGCCTACCAGGTGCCATCTCCGCCCCATGGTTTAGGGTTCTGGGGGTAGGGTGGGAGTGGGGATGGGTGCGGGGTAGGGGTGGGGGTAGGAGTATAGGAGTGACGGTGGGAGTGTCTGGTTGAGTGGGATGACACGCTTCTCTTCTTCCCTTACTTTCCCTGGTCCCTGCTCCCTGGTCCCTGGTTGCTGATGCTGATATGCTGATGCTGATGCTGATGCTGATGCTGATGCTGATGCTGATGCTGATGTGCTGATGCTGATATGCTGATGCTGATGCTGATGCTGATGCTGATGTGCTGATGCTGATATGCTGATGCTGATGCTGATGCTGATGTGCTGATGCTGATATGCTGATGCTGATGCTGATGCTGATGCTGATGCTGATGCTGATGCTGATGTGCTGATGCTGATATGCTGATGCTGATGCTGATGCTGATGCTGATGCTGATGCTGATGCTGATGTGCTGATGCTGATATGCTGATGCTGATGCTGATGCTGATGCTGATGCTGATGCTGATGCTGATGTGCTGATGCTGATATGCTGATGCTGATGCTGATGCTGATGCTGATGTGCTGATGCTGATATGCTGATGCTGATGCTGATGCTGATGCTGATGCTGATGCTAATGCTGATGCTGATGCTGATGCTGATGCTGATCCTGATGCTGATGTGCTGATGCTGATATGCTGATGCTGATGCTGATGCTGATGCTGATGCTGATGCTGATGCTGATGTGCTGATGCTGATATGCTGATGCTGATGCTGATGCTGATGCTGATGTGCTGATGTGCTGATGCTGATATGCTGATGCTGATGCTGATGCTGATGCTGATGCTGATGCTGATGCTGATGTGCTGATGCTGATATGCTGATGCTGATGCTGATGCTGATGCTGATGCTGATGCTGATGTGCTGATGCTGATATGCTGATGCTGATGCTGATGCTGATGCTGATGCTGATGCTGATGCTGATGTGCTGATGCTGATATGCTGATGCTGATGCTGATGCTGATGCTGATATGCTGATATGCTGATGCTGATGCTGATGCTGATGCTTATGCTGATGCTGATGCTGATGCTGATGCTGATGTGCTGATGCTGATATGCTGATGCTGATGCTGATGCTGATGCTGATGCTGATGCTGATGCTGATGCTGATGTGCTGATGCTGATATGCTGATGCTGATGCTGATGCTGATGCTGATGCTGATGTGCTGATGCTGATATGCTGATGCTGATGCTGATGCTGATGCTGATGTGCTGATGCTGATATGCTGATGCTGATGCTGATGCTGATGCTGATGCTGATGTGCTGATGCTGATGCTGATGCTGATGCTGATGCTGATGCTGATGCTGATGTGCTGATGCTGATATGCTGATGCTGATGCTGATGCTGATGCTGATGCTGATGCTGATGCTGATGTGCTGATGCTGATATGCTGATGCTGATGCTGATGCTGATGCTGATGTGCTGATGCTGATATGCTGATGCTGATGCTGATGCTGATGCTGATGCTGATGCTGATGTGCTGATGCTGATATGCTGATGCTGATGCTGATGCTGATGCTGATGCTGATGCTGATGCTGATGTGCTGATGCTGATATGCTGATGCTGATGCTGATGCTGATGCTGATGCTGATGCTGATGTGCTGATGCTGATGTGCTGATGCTGATATGCTGATGCTGATGCTGATGCTGATGCTGATGCTGATGTGCTGATGCTGATATGCTGATGCTGATGCTGATGCTGATGCTGATGCTGATGCTGATGCTGATGTGCTGATGCTGATATGCTGATATGCTGATGCTGATGCTGATGCTGATGCTGATGGGCGCACTGCACGAGGACCTGGTGTACGCGCTCAAGGAGATCCCACAGGCACCTCAATAATCCTTCCCTTTCCACTTGGCCCTCTCTCCACCTATCTCCCCATATCTCCCCCTCTTTCCCCCTCTCCCTCTCTGCCCGTGTGGCCATCAGATGCTGATGGAGAAGCTGGACGAGGACCTCGTGTACGCTCTCAAGGAGGCTCCTGGGGCGCCTCAAGAATCCCTCTCTTCCCCTTTCCCCCTTCCCTCTCTCCCTCCTTGCGTGCCTGCACCATCAGATGCTGATGGAGAAGCTCGACGAGGATCTGGTGTACGCGCTCAAGGAGGAGGGCGGTATGGCCGTGGAGGATGTCAGCAACTATGAGCACGTCAAGCAAAGCATTGTGGATAAGGTGCGGTGAGGGGTTGGGAGGGGCGAGAGGGGTTGAGAAGTGATGGGAGGGTGGGGGGTGGTGGAGAGGGAATGAAAGGGGGATGAGTGATGCTAGTGCGGATAATGCTGATTTGCTGCCAGTACAGCAACCTAGTCATGCGGTTTTTCACCCGTCATCACCACACACACCACTTTAACCGCACCCAGTTCCCGCTCTCCTTCCCACCGACACCCATGCCCTCCCTGCACTTTTACTTCTCTCGCCCTCTCTCCTCCTCGCCTCTCTCCCCGGCAGCTGAGCGCCCTGCGGGATGCGCCAGTGAGGGAGGAGTGTCCGGTGATCTACCATCTGGACGTGGCCGCTATGTACCCCAACATCATGCTCACCAACCGCCTCCAGGTGCGCCTTCTCACACACTTTGATAGCGACGATTAATTTTCTCAAGTGCCGGGAAAGAGCCGACTTGTTTCTAGCCACCTCAATAAGTCGCATATTACATCATGCTCACTATCGCATGCAGGCGCATGCGTGTGCTGCTGGGAGCGCGAAGGGGAAGGAGTTTAGTTGTTCTAGTGTCTCCATCCATGCCATTTCCCCCTGAACAATTACTCCTCCGCCACATATCCTCTGGTGAAAGTTGAGTGAAATCTGAACTCTTTGTATCTTGCCTATCCTTCCCATGCACCCCAAATTGCATGTGCAACTACCATCCCATGGCATGATGCCAGCCGCCGTCCATAGTGACGGAGGAGGTGTGTGCAGCGTGTGACTTCAACCGCCCAGGCAAGAACTGCCTGCGGCCGCTGGAGTGGGTGTGGCGTGGAGAAACATACACCGCCTCAAAGAGGTGAGGTTGGGGGTTCATGCGTGCGTGCGTGCGTATGTATGTGGATGCAGTGTGTGCGTGCAGTGTGTGCATGCATGCACCCATGCGTGTGTGCGTTTTGTGTGTGTGGATGCGTCGCAAAACATGTTCCTGTGTCGCCCTCCTTGCCATTCCCTCCCCCCCCCCCCCCGCCCGCAGCGAGTACTACCAGCTGCGCAGTCAGATGGAGACGGAGCGCTTCCCCTGTGCGGCACACGGGGGGCAGGTGCGGTCGTTCCGCGAGCTGCCACTGCAGGAGCAGCAGGAGCGCGTCAAGGAGCGCCTCAAAAAGTACTGCCAGAAGGTGTGCGCTTGCATGTGCGCCTGCATGCATGCACACCCTTGGTACAACTTTACCAACTGGGTGCCACCGCACAGCCCTCTGCCACAACTGCCCCCTGTTGCATTTTGAATGCGGCTGGAATGCATAGGCCTGATGATATCTTACAACCTTCCGCAGTGATTACACCTGAATCCTATCATCACTGACCTTGTCACGAATCCTGTCACTAACCTTGCCCCTGTCCTGTCCCTGCTTGTGTCCCTGTCCCCGTCCGTGTCCCTCTCCCTCTCCCTCTCCCTGTTCCCTGCCCCCCATGTCCGTTCCTCCCCATGCCCCCCCAGGTGTACAAGCGCGTAGTGGACAAGCCGAAGGTGGAGGTAAAGGTAGCAGGGGTGTGCCAGCGAGAGAACTCCTTCTATATCGACACTGTCAGAAGGTATACAGCCTATCTACACGCCAGCCATCCCCTTCAGGGATGGGAGTGATGGACAGGGGTGGTATTTGGCATGTGGATGAGATAGGGGCACTTGTGGGGTATTCATGGGTCACTTCTTGCAGGTGAAAGGGCTGCTGCATGGAAGCAAGCGGGCCGCTTGAAGCGGGAAGTTTTGGAACTGCGTACGACTTGCATCAGGGTGTCATTAAGCTAGATGCATCAGGGTGTCATTAAGCTAGATGCCTCTGTCTCCTACTGTGCCATACAAACCCCCCGTCCCAATCCCCCCCTCCCCCCGTTTTGCTTCTCGTCCTTCCCTCTTTCCCCCCTCCTTTTCCACCCCCCACGCTCCTTCCGTGTCCTCTCTGCTCCCGCTTCTCGGCCCCCCCTTCCGCACCCCTGCGCGCCCCCCCTAATTTGGTGCGTGTGCAGTTTCCGTGACCGGCGGTACGAGTACAAGGGGCTGAACAAGAAGTGGAAGGGCAAGCTGGGAGACGCCAAGAAGTCTGGCAACGCCTTTGCCATCCAGGAGGCCCAGGTGGGTGGGAGGCGGGCAAGGAGGGGCGGGATTCGTGGTGAGAGCAGGCTGCGTGGGGTTAAGGTCAGGCGGCGCACACATGGGGTTGGTTGCTGGGGGTGGGAGTTTGCAGCAGGCGAGGGTGATGGGTGTGCTGTTCATGGGGTTAGGGCTGCCAGCAGCGCATGCAGGCATGCCATGGCGTGGTCTGGCATGGCATGGGAGGTTGCATGCCATGGCGTGGGAATGCTGGCTGAGCGTCGAGCTTGTTCTGATAGTTTTTAAAAACATACTCACATGTCACATACATGGGGCCTGTTGAAGCATGAGCTTGCGCACGGGATGCTGGTTGCACAGGCAGAGGTCCGCGAATGAATGGCTATGGCTTGCGCATCTCTTGTTTACTGTCTGGACCTACAGAATTTCATAGATGTCTGGCCCACTCCCCAGGAAGTCGTCCTAATTAATCTCTCAACTCGTGCATGTGGGAACTCATCTCATCTTATGCATAGCTGTGTGTCTGTATTCCCTCTCCCACATGTGTGGCCGTGTTGCCATGTGTGAATGAATGCCTTGTTTGTGCATGAAATGGGGCCGGGCGTGCTGCATGTATGCGCACACGCATGCATGGCAACAGGACATGGTGGTGGTGTACGACTCACTGCAGCTGGCGCACAAGTGCATTCTCAACTCATTCTACGGCTATGTCATGCGCAAGTATGCCCGCCCCATCCCCATGCGCCCCCACATTTCCCTGCCTCTGCGCTCATGCCATACCACATACAGTCCCGTTCCTTCCTTATTATCGATCAGAAGGTTTTTTGCCGTTTCAAATCCCCCACATAGACTTCGCCACTCCCGCACCCTCCCTTTGCTGTCCGTTTCCCTCTGTCGCTCTGCACCGCCCTTCTGAAGGGGCACGCGGTGGTACTCGATGGAGATGGCGGGCATAACGATGGACACGGGAGCCAAGCTCATTCAGAGCGCAACAGCTACTCTACCCTGCAACAATTGAAACCTTTGGCATTCTCCCCAAACACCGCCTCCGTTACCCTCCCACAGGGGAGCGCGGTGGTACTCGATGGAGATGGCGGGCATCACGACATACACGGGCGCCAAGCTCATTCAGAGTGCGCGCGAGCTGGTGGAGCGAGTGGGCAAGCCTCTCGAGCTCGACACCGATGGCATCTGGTGCTGCCTCCCCGCCTCCTTCCCCCAGGACTTCTGCTTCACTCCCAGGTGCTTGGGAGGGGGCACGCCCAGGTGGTGGGACGTGAGGGGGGAGGAGGAGGAGGGGAGGGAGCTTTCGTGGTGCATTGTGTGTGGCAGTCCAAGAACATGGGGTGACGGGGAGACTGGGACATGAATGCAAGGGTGACTGTGTGTGAGGGTGGGGTAGGGATGTTGGTTTAGCCTGGATCGTATCTTCTCTTTCCCCACACCCCATTCCCACTGCTCTCTTGCTCTCGCATACACATATCCACTGCATGCTTATCCTTCCCAGTGTCCTTGTTTCTCCTCCCTCATTTTCCTCTGCCCCTCTGTCCCTTGTCCCCCTGTCCCTCCATCTCTCCTCCTGCTCCCCGCCTTGTGGCATGGGACAGCAAGCCGGGCGGCAAGAAGCTGACGATATCGTACCCATGTGTGATGCTGAACGCGGATGTGAAGAAGCACAACACCAACGACCAGTACCAGGTGGGGATGCTGCTGCATGCAGTGGAGAGTAGCACCACACTGGGTCTGTCTGCACTCTTGAATGTGCGCATACCATGCCGTGTACATGCATGGCATACGCGTGCACACCACGCTCACCTCAGCCATATTAACTCATCCCATGCACTGTGCGGACAGACATTGTCAAAGCGCTCTCACCACACCTGTCACTTCAACGCCTAACCTCGCCCAGCCCCGCCCCAACCCCCCCCTCTCCCCCGCCACCCCGTCCCTGGCCCTCGCTCCTGGGTGGGGCAGACACTGGTGGACCCGGAGAGTCGGCGCTATGAGGTGGCGAGTGAGTGCTCCATTGCATTTGAGGTGGATGGGCCGTACAAGGTGCGTGCTCCACCTTGCACACATGCACTCACAGGCACACGCAGGGACGCACGCTCGCACACATGTGGAACATTCAAGGTTAAATCAGTCACACTGCACACCGCCATGCACATTACCCATGCTCCAGTGAAGTGAACACACACACACAGCCTCTCGTCAAGGCTCTTACGGGTCACTCTCTCTCTCCATCCGGCTGCATCAGTGCTCCCCTTTTTTCTGGCTGTATGCCAGGATCTTTTCTCTCAGCACTGCTTGATCCATCAACCCACTCATCCTGCATCTTCCCAATCCGTCTTTCCCCCTTCTTAAGCCTACTTCCGCCCAACCCGTCTCTCCCCCTCCCAACCCTTCTTCCCCCAAACCTTCCCCTCCCCCTTCCGTTCATCCCCTTCCCCATACAGGCGATGATCCTCCCGGCATCCAAGGAAGAGGTCGTGCTTCTAAAGAAGCGCTACGCAGTGTTCAACCTGGACGGGTCTCTGGCGGAGCTCAAGGGCTTTGAGCTCAAGCGCACGCATCCCCTCCCCTCCCGCCGCCCTCCCTCCCCCTCCCATACAGGCAATGATTCTCCCAGCGTCCAAGGAGGAGGGCGTGCTATTAAAGAAGCGCTACGCTGTGTTCAACCTGGACGGGTCTCTGGCGGAGCTCAAGGGCTTTGAGCTCAAGCGGCGAGGCGAGCTGAAGCTGATCAAGGTGTTCCAGTCCGAGGTCTTTGAGTGCTTCCTCGCTGGGACGTCCCTGCCCGAGTGCTACGCTGCTGTGGCTGCCGTCGCCAACAACTGGCTCGACATGCTCGATGTACTACTGTGGGCTGCTGTGGGCTGGTGAATGGGGGTTGGGGGTTCGTAGGGATTGGACGACGGGGTGGTTCTGGGAGTGGGAAAGTGGGGGTTTGGGAGGGGCTTGAAATGAGGTGTTTGGCGAAGTGGATGTGCCATGTTCCTAAGCAACCCGTTTCGTCAACAAAAACCACTGCCAACTACACCTATTTCCACCCACCTACACCCAAGACTTATGCTTCCAGCCCCACGCATTGTCCCTCTCGCTCTCTCCCTCTGACCCCAATCCAGAGTCGTGGGGCAGGGCTGGAGGAGGCGGAGCTGCTGGAGCACATCAGTGAGTCGTGCACCATGAGCAAGGCCCTGGAGGAGTATGGCGGGCGCAAGTCCACGGCCGCCACCACCGCCATACGCCTGGCGGACTTCCTGGGCGAGGCCATGATCAAGGACAAGGGGCTCAGCTGCAAATACATCGTTGCCAAGTACCCTGCTGTGAGTGCTGCCTGCTGTTGTGAGCGTGGGGTAGGGTGAGTGGAGGGGGTGAGAAGGGGAGGAGAGGGGGGAGGAAGGGGGAGGTAGAGCGTGTCTGGATGGGGGGATGCATGTGGGATGTTCCATGTTCAATGTTCTCTGGTCATTCCCGCCCTGTGCTGCCCCACTCTTCTCACCCCACTGTGGCCCTTGCTCTTACTTCCACTTATGTTAACCCCCATACGCCTGTGCCCCAGTGTCCCGTCTGCATGTCTCATCCGAGTTCCCTGCTCCCCTGCCTGCTTTCTCCACCCAGACATCCCCTGTGAGCGAGAGGGCCATTCCCGTGGCCATTTTCAATGCCGAGCCAGGTGAGGCCGCCATTCCCTGCTGCTGCTGCTGCCGCTGTCGCTGCTGCCACCGCCGCCCCCTCTGCCCCCCCCTGCCCGTGGTAGTGGTTACCTTCATGTGTGCATCAGTTGATTGGCCGTTACACGACTACTATTGTTTCAACAGCCCACTCACCTGCATGCCTGTCCCATATGCATTGCCATTTCCCCTCCGCACACCCGCACCTCCCCTCCGCACCTCCCCTCCGCACCTCCCCTCTGCACCTCCCCTCGTGCGCACGCCTGGGGCAGAGGTGATGCGGGTGTACTTGCGCAAGTGGTGCAAGGAGGCGCACGGCCCTTTGGACGTGCGGGCCATTGTCGACTGGGACTACTACCGCCAGCGCCTCTCCTCCGCCATCCAGAAGATCATCACCATCCCCGCTGCCATGCAGAAGGTGCCATGCAAGCCCTCCCTTGATTAAGACTCCTCCACCCACTGTGCCAAGACATGGCCTGTGGGTGACATGGGGCAAGACGGTGCATGGTGTGTGTACAATTGCGGCCTACTTTAGGCAGACACCGAGTGTTATGACTTGACCTGCTCTTCTCTTTCAACCTTCTCACCTATTCCTCTGACTACCCCTCCCCCCTCCCATCCCCCCTCCCTCCCCCCTCCCCTCCCCGCTCCCTCCCCCCTTCCACACGTGCTCGCCCATGCGAAACGGCGCAGGTGAAGAATCCGGTTCCGCGTGTGGCGCACCCTGACTGGCTGTCCAGGCGCGTGCGGCAGCAGGAGGACCGCTGGCAGCAGCGCTCCCTGCGCGGCTTCTTCTCCGCCTCCCTCGCCCCCGCTGCTGATGACGCCACTGCTGCTGCTGCAGACGGTGCTGATGCCGCTGCTGCTGCTGATGCTGATGCTGGTGGTGGTGGGGATGCCAATGCTAACGTGTCTACTGGCCCAGATCCGGGTAGAGAAGGGGGGAATGGTGCGCCAGTTGACTTGGAGGATATTGGCGGGCGAGGGGGGAGAGGGAGGGAGGGCGGGACGCGTGCAGTGGTGAGGAGGCAGGTCCAGGCAAGGTTGGTGGTTCCGGAACGAGAGGGGGGGAGAGAAGGGGAGGAGGAGGAGAGGGAGAGGGTGGAGAGGAGGGGCAGGGAGGCGAGGGAGCGGAGTCCTGACCCAGGAGAGGACTATGGCAAGTGGTTGCAGCATAAGAAGAGGAAGTGGCGGCGGACATTGGAAGAGAGGAAGAAACGCAGGTAGGGGTGGTGTGCAGTTACATGTGGTATGTGGCTACATGTGGTGTGAGGGCTGTGTGCTGTCATGTACTGTGTGCTCTTTCTAACAAAGCAACGCACTTCACCTCTCGTCCCTTTGAATTTGAGAACCAAGGCAGCAAACTACTAAGTGGGATTCACAATCTTTCCCTGCCACACCCTCTGTCACTGCAGGCAGGGTGAAGCAGAGGGCGGGGGCGGCGAGGGCGTGGGGAGTGGAGCAGCAGGGGCGCGCAGGAGGCTGGGAGTGAGTGGCATGCTGCGCCATGCAGACGATGCTCTCACACGCTCGCACTGGCAGGTGGGTGGGCAGGGGGCTGAGAACGAGAGGTGGATTGGCCGGTTGCAGTGGGGATGCGGGGGAGTGGGGCAGAGCAATGGCGGACGAGGGACCTCAGGTGGTGCGGGGAATTCTGATTGTGTGCCTGCCTGCCAGCAATGCAGCACGGGGCAAACCAATCACTGTGTTCCACATACTCTCACCTCTCTGCCTCCTCCATCTCCCATCATTGAGCCTCCCAGCCCCTCATCTCCGACTCCTCTCCTCACCAACCCTTCTCTGTGCCCTCGTGATGCAGATCATCCAAGTGACGCCCACAGCAACGCCCGGCGAGTTCTCCCTGTGGGTCGTGGTGGGGGCAGCGGGCGTGAGGCGAGTGGTGGTGAGGGTGCCGCGTGTGTTCTACCTCAACACCCGTGCGGCAGTGAAGCAGGAGGAGGCCCCGGGGGAGCTGGTGTCCCGCACTCTGCCACACGGCCACCCCCTGCTCAACCTGCTCAAGGTGTGCTGCCAGGAGAGGGGACGAACGTTTGTGGGCGGAAGAGGAGGAGACGAGATTGCTGATATTATGCTCCCGGGCTGCTGTTGCTCGCCCCTACCTTTGCCCCTTCCCCCCACCTGCCTCCCTGTCGCTCTGCCATCCTGCCTCTGCTTCCCCATTCGAATCTCCATCCTCCACTCTCGTTGCTCTCCTCTCCTGGCAGCTGACGGTACAGGAGAGCCAGTTCCAGGCGTCCAGGAGGCAGCTCGCCGCTCATCTGGGTGACCCAGACGTTGAGGTGCGCTGGGGAAAGATTGGTGCCGGGCTGAGGGACGATGGGTAGAGGAGGGTGAGGGGAGCGAGGGGAGGGGGAGGAGGGGAGGAAATTGGAGGAAAGAGTGAGGGCTGTGGAGAGAGGTCTGCAGCCTGTGTTGCTGAGTGAATATGGAGTTTCTGTGTTGTGGGAGGTTGATCGTGGTTATTATGCTTGCCCCATCGGTCCCCTCCATCTTTCGCTGTCACCTCACCCCCTTCCATGTGCGTACGCATGTCGCTCTGCTTGGCATGTATGCTCTGCTCTCTCCTGCGGTGCATGCTGTTGCCATGTGCATGCATGCCACCGCTGTGTGCATAACCGCCATGACCTGACCAGGGAGTGTACGAGGCCCAGGTGCCTCTGCTCACACACCTGCTGCTCTCCCTCGGCACTGTCTGCTCCGTGGACTCCCGTGCTCGCTCCAAAGCCACAGCCACCACCAAAACCACCAACCCCTCAAACACCAGCAGCAGTGGTGGAGGAGCATGGGACATGGGGCATCTATCAATGCGCACCACCACCGAGTGCCCCTACCTGCCCTCCGTGCTCTCCTCCCGCTCCTTCCTCTACCTCTACCACAGGTACCGCCTCTTTCTCCCTCCCACACATCGTCTTCTTTGTCTCTCCACCCCTGGATTACAGTTCTCCTCCCTCCCAGGTTTCTTTCCTCCCTGACCCCGTTTCCCCTTCCTTACTCTTTTCCTCCCTCCTTGTCTCCCCGTGCCCCGCTGTGCTTCCCCATGCCTCACGAACCCCCTGTGCCTCACACATAACCCCCCCCTTTATCTCCCTCCCCTCCACCCCCCTGCAGTGGCACGGACACGAGAGCAGTGTACGCGCTCTTCATGCCCTCGCTCCCCGCGCTGCTGCTCCTCTTCGTCTCCCCCGTGCCCACGCGAGACGTTACCCCTGCTCACCTGCACCGCCACTTCCTCGCTGCTGCTACTGCAGCACACGCCGCCAGCCCAGACGTGCCCCCAGCACCTGCTGCTGCCTCCGTGCATGTCAAGGTCAGCTCTCTCTCTCCTAAACTCTCCCTCTCGTCCTTTCTTGACCCTCTCTCCAGCAGCCACTCTGATTCTTCGTAGCAATACTCTGTCTCCTCTGTGGGATCTTGCAGCTCTTGTGCATCTTGCTGTCTGCATGCAGTCCTCTGCTGCCACTGTATGGTCCTGCAGTGCTTTGATCTTCAAGAGCTCTCAAGAACGCGCCCTTTTTCTCTGTGCCTGTACCCCCTTTCTGTGCCCGTGCATCTCTCTGTGCCCGTACCTCTCCCTGTGCCCATGCCTATCCTTGTGACCGTGCCCTTGCTGCACCTGGCAGGTGGAGTATGCAGGGACACGCCAGGATGCATGCAAGGCAGTGCAGAGAGCAATAGAGGAGCTGCGGTGAGCCACCCTGCGCACACCACCTCAAGGCCCTTGAGTCTAGGGACACAGAGGGGCTTTCATGATACACACGCGTTTGGACTCACTCGCTTCACTGGCCTGGGTCTAGGCATTCCAGTCAAACTTATGTCTGGTATAGACGCTTCAGTTCGGCACACCTCAATGTTCTCAGCTGATTGCGAGTCTGTGGCTACTATAGAATCTACCACTGGAAAACTCCATCCCGCACACTCCCCCTGCCCCTCCCCTTTCCTCCGCCCATTGTTGCCCCCCTGCCATCAGTGGGTCCCACCGTGGCCCACTAATAGCTCTGGTGGAGGATGCCACTCGCACTGGGGGAACACAGCCTGGCAGCGAGGGGACACGGACAGCAGCTACAGGGGCAGGGGCAGGGGCAGGGGCAGGGGCAGGCGGAGGTGCAGGGGGAGGGGCAGGGGCAAGTGGAGGGTTGGGAGGAGTGGCAGTGTTGGAGAGCATGCCGTGTGTGGAAGTACCGGGCAATGCAGCCGACAGCCGCTTTCCGGTGAGTAAGCAGGAGATGTCCAACATGAGGCCAGGCGCTCCCTTCATCTTGGCATGGCTGGTTGTGTGTGAACTATGTGAAGAGGAGGGGAACAAGAGGGGGTGGGGGGAGGTGTTGTCGTGTAACGTGGCAGTGTGCTGCTGCGGTGCAGTGCCGCCGTGCTGCAAGCTAACCCATCATCCATGTCTCGCTCTCCCTCTCTGTACCGCCTGCCTCCCCTCTACTCCCGTGTCGCCCCACCTTGGACTCCTCGCCTCATGTGTGCAGGCGCTGGGGTGGCAGGCAGCAGCGGGGCGAGTGGCGGTGCACCGATGTGCACAGGCGCCTGTGTGGCTGCACCAGCGCGTTTCCCTCGCCAGATACGCACACGTGAGCAGGGGAAAAAGGGGGGATAGGGCGGGAGGGTTAGTGCAAATGGCTTTCGTCGTGGTGACCTGTGCTTACCTGGTCTCACCTGGTCTCAATCTTTTTGCACCTGTTCTTACCTTTCTCACCTGTTCCCAACTGTTCTCACCTGCTCCCACCTTTTCACACCTCTTTGCACCTGCTCTGGCCCATCAGATCCCCATAGGCAACATGAGCAAGGACTGGATCCTGCACACAGCAGACGTTTTCTACGCCAGGGCATTGCGAGACAACAACCATGTCAGTCAGTCAGCACCACTCGCCTCACCACACGTGCAATCCAATGCACATGTGCAGTTCACTCAGCTTCATGCTGCCACTCTGTCTGCCCTGCTGCTGTCTCTTCTCTGCCAAATCTTCTCGACCCTCCTCTCTATATTCTCTTGCCCCACTCCCGTTCCCGTCCGTTCACATTCCCGATTCCCGCTCGCGATGCTCTGCTAGGTTCTCTTCTCTCACCCCGTCATGCCTCGTCCACCCCCCCACTCCCTGTATGCATCTCCTCACCCATTCACTCCGACCAAGTTCCCCCCACGGCACCATCCCACTCCCCTGCGCACCACAAACCCGCCCCATTGCCTGCCTGCCCATTCTCCCCCACGCACCCATGGTCCTACAGCTGCTGTGGCTGTCCCACACGGGCGTGCCGGACGTTGGAGGGGTGGCGGAGGAGGAGGCCATGAGCTTCCTGGACGAGGTCAGCAGGGCACTTGCGCGGGGGGAGGAACGGAGAGGGGAGGGGTGGAGAAAGGGGGGGGAGGGGGGGAGGGGGAGATGGGGGCCGTTGGAAGGGTTGGGATGGGAAGTGAGCTGTAAAGGGGAGACATCTGTGCATGCGCGCTTGGTTGTGCTCCTGCATTGCTTTGCACCTGTATTGTATCTGAGTTGCGAGTTTGTTTGCATCTGAGTTTGTGTATGCCTGTGCGTGTATGACTGTCTGTGGGTGTGGGGCATGTGGATGGATGCGCATGTGCAACATGTGTGTGTTTCTGGGCGGGAGTGTGCCTTCCTGTGTGCATGTGTGTCTCTCTGCATGTGTACAGGTTCAGCAACCGCAGGTGGTGGTTCCGGGCCACTACACAACAATAACTGTGGAGCTCAAGGTACGCTGCTCGGCACCCTCACCACAGCACCTTCCCTTCACCTCGCTCCTAATCCGATTTCTTCCTCCTCATCTCCTCCTCGCCTCCTCCTTTTCCTCCTCCTCCACTCCCCCCAGTGTCCCTCATTCCTCCGTCCCACCTGTGACCCCTGCTCCCCGTCCTCCGTCACCCCCACCACACAGATACAGCACCTGGCAGTGTGTGCGCTCATCAAGAGCACCATAATCAACGACATCGAAGGGGGTGCGCTCCTGGGCGCCTCACACCCCCACTCCCACCCGCACTCCTCCTCCTCTCAACCGCACGCCTCCTCGCACCCCAGGTTCCTCTTCCAGCCGCAGTCCACCACCACCCCAGCCAACGGCAGCAACCATAGCAACCACCGCACAACAGAGACAGCATCAGCATCAGCAGCGGCAGCAGCAGAGGCAGTGAGGGAGGCGGAAGCAGAGCTGCAAGGCGTGCTGGGTGGGGTACAGGGGGACGAAGCGGGGAGAGGGAGAGGGGGTTCAGGGGCCTCAGGGGGCCATGTGATGGAGGACGAGGCGGCCATGTGCCGGTCGGCGTTCAAGGTGCTGCGCGGCATGGTGACGGCGTGGGTGACGGATGTGGTGCGCACGCAAAGCCTCTATGCTGACGCCCTGCTGCAGCACCTCTACCGCTGGATCTGCAGGTGCCGTGCCAGTCCAGGGGTGCAGGACTAAGGGGGGGATGTTGGGGGTGGAGGGGGGAGGGGGAAGAAGGAATGCATGCGGGGAAAGGAGGAGGGGACGAGGAGGTGGGTGTGGGGAGGGAAGAGGGACGAGGGGAGGATGGGGAATGTGGGAGGTGAGGGCATGTGGGTATGTGGAGTTGGCACATTGCCAGGCCATATTGCTGTGACCTTGCCTTGCCATAAATCCTTGTCCATTCTCAGTTCCTCTTGTTGTGTGTCCCTCCTCCTTTTCGTCTACATCCTTGCCTGTACCTTCCCCTCTCCCGCTCCTGTTACTCCCCAGCCCCTCGTCCACTCTGCACGACCCCTTCCTGCACCGCCTACTGCACAAGGTACGCTGCTTCTCTCACACTGCTTTGTGGTGCTCTCTTCCCAACCCACACTGCGCCGCTCGCTGTCTGCCTGTCTGCCTGTCTGCCTGTCTGATGGTCTGCGAACCTCTCCTCGGCGCTCCGCCCCTCTGAACGCACCTTCCTATCACCCGTCAGTTGACTCGACTCAAAATCCTCCTCTCTTCTGCCTGCATTGCTACTGCATGATTTGACGCACCTTAAAAGTGAGACGAATTTTGAGGCGCCTCCCATGCCATCCATCCCTCCAACGCCTGGCAGATCATGTGCAAGCTGTTTGCGCTGCTGCTAGCGGAGCTGAGGCGCCTGGGCGCCACAGTGGTATACGCGGACTTCTCACGGGTCATTCTCGCCACGGGGCGGCGCTCCCTGCCCTCTGCCATGGCCTATGTGGACTACCTTGTTGCCGCTGTCAACAGCAGGTGCGGGGTGTTGGGGTTGAGGATTGAGGGATGGAGAGATGGAGGTGTTGAAGGGTGGGGGTGACGGGAAAGGGATTGTTCGGATGGCCATACATGCATGGTCATGCGCATGTGCGTGTGTGTGCACACTCACGCGCACAGACGCGCGCCTATCCACTGCCCTCCACTCCCCACTTGTCTCTGTCCCTCCCCATGCATATCCCCCCTATGAAGTTGCAACTTCGACAGTAGCAGCAGAACCTCATACTCCATTCCTCTCCCCTCCCGCCTCTCCTTCCCTCTCTGCCGCTCGTGCCACCCTGCCCTCAGAGACGCGTTTGAGTTGCTGCATGTGGAGAAGCAACGGGTGTGGCACTCCCTGCTCTTCCTGGACAAGGCGAGTAATGCATGTGGGCGTGGCAAGTGGTGATATGCGATGTGCGTCTGGCTGCCACGTCTGCACGCACGCCTTCATGCTTTGCTGCTGCATACACGCGCCATTGCGTAGCACAGCAGAGGTGCTGCCTGTCACTGCCCTGTCACTGCCCTGTCACTGCCCTGTCACTTTCCTGCCGTGTTGTTGCCAGCTCTCTCCCCCCCCCCTTCCTCCCCTCCCTCACCGCCTTCCCCACATGCTTCTGCTCGCCTTCCGTCCTACCCTTGCCAACCTTCATCCTTCACAGCCGTTCTCCTCAAGCCATAGCAGCCGCGCAAGGATGATGCCCGTGTATCTTTGCACCCTGCGTGCTCCCCTCGTTTCCCCATGCGTCGTGCCGCAGTTCAACTTTGGCGGCATTGTCGATAGCACTCAGTTGGAGCAGCAGCAGCCAGAGGGAGAGGGGGAGAATGGGGAGGCTGCAAGGCACGCGAATGGCAATGGTGCTGCCACTGCTGATGCTAATGGTGGTGGTGGCGATGGTGGTGGCGATGGTGGTGGTGATGGTGCTGGGAGTGGTGATGGTGCTGGGGCAGGGAAGCAGGCGGATGGGCGAGGAGGAGAGGAGGGAAAGATGACCGTACTGAGCCAATGGAACATTGCAGACTACCTCCCATCATCTGTGCAGGTCAGTCACGGTGGTGCCCCTCTGTGCAGGCCACTACCAGCGCCCTGTGCCACTCAGTAAGCATGCTTCTGCAGTGCCCTCCTCCCCGCTGCCCCTCTCCGCTCCTCTCTTTCTCGTCACTCTATCAGTTACCTCATATCACTCCAAAATATCCACACCTCTGCTCTTGCCTCTGCTCTTGCCTCTCACCCTCTCATTCCCCACTGGTTCGCCTTCTCTCCTCCTGCCCTCCAATCCCCCCTACACCCGCCTCACCCCTTTCTCGCCAGGAGTACTTCCATCTGACAGTCTCTGATTTCATTTTCAACCCCTGGGTGGCCGCTCGCGATCGCAGCACAGAGAGGACCCTCCAGCGCAGGGCCGCTGCTGCCTTGGCTGCTCGAGCAAGGAAGAGGGAGAGGGAGAAGGAGAGGGAGAGAGGGAAGGCAGGGAAAGCGGGGAAAGAGGGAGGAGGTGGGGATGTGGGAGAGGAGGCGGAGGAGGGGAGGGTGGACGAGGAGGATGAAGAGGCAGAGCTGGCACGAAATGAGGTAGGTGACCGTGCTCTTTCCCCTCTCTCCTCCTCCTTCACCTCCCCCATCTCCTCCTCTCCACTCCACCATTTTCAATTAAGACAATCTAGAGTTTCCTCCTTGGTCCTCCCATTCTGCGCTCTCCTTCTCCTCTCTATCACGCTTGCTCACCTTGCCCTCCCCCTCTTTTCCGCACTTCCCACCGTGTGTGCGCCACTGCAGGTGCAGAACCGCCTCACAGACAACCTCTTGCACCTCGTGCGGGCCTTGCAGGCAGAGGCGGAGAGAGGGGGGGAGGACGCGGAGGAGGAGGGGGAAGGGGGGGAGGAGCGCAGGGTGGGGAAGTCGGGGAAAGGGGGGCAGAGGGGGAAGGGGCGGGGGGCGCTGGGGGCATCAGGGGGGCGGGCGCTGGAGCTAGTGAAAGCAGTGTGCCATGTGCTGTCGCTCAGTGCACACGTGCAGCATGAAGTGCAGGTGGGTGGATGGATCATGGATGGGTGAGCTGGCAGGTGGGCGGACGGGTGGGCGGGTGGATGGGCGAGGCGGGTGGATGGCTGAGTGAGTGGATGCTTGGGTGGGTGGGTTGGTGGATCGGTGGATGGGTGGGTGGGTGGGTGGGCGGGTGGGCGAATGGATGGTGGGTGAATGCGGGTTGGTTCATGGGTGTGTGCATTTTTGGATGAGGCAATGACCCTTTTGACTAACATGCTTCCCCCCTCCCTCCCACCCTTCCGCCCTCCTTCCCACTGTCCTTCTTAACTCCCTCCGTCCCTCCCTCTTTCCCTCGCTCCCTCCCGCCCTCATGCCTTCCCTCTATCATTGCCTCGTGGCCTTCCTCCCCTCCCTGTGTTCTCGTCTCATAATCCTCTGCTCATGAAAACATTCAATACCATTCTATCAGGTGTTGCGGCGGCAGCTGCTGCGGGTGCTGAGGGTGCGTGAGTTTGCACCAGAAGCCATTTTCCGGGACCCATGTCGCTCCTTCGTTCTCCCAGGAGTCATATGCAGGTACCCCTCTCCCTCTCTTCGTCTCTCCCCCACCTTCTCCACTTTCCCAGTTTCCGTCAACCACTCCCTCCTCTCACCCTCAGCCTCCTTTCTCTCTCCCTTCTGCACTTCCAACAGTTTTTCTGTGATTTCAATCTATTCAATCTATATGCCCACCTTGTCTGCACATCTTCCCATCATGCTCCCACCGAGTCGCTACCACTGCCCCACATTATCCATCTCCACTCCTCTGCTACCTGCATTACCCGTGCATTACCCGTGTGAGTGCACAGCTACTGCAACGACTGCAGGGACCTGGACCTGTGTCGGGACCAGCTGCTGCAGGCGGGCGAGTGGCGCTGTGCCGTCCCGCACTGCCAGCACCCCTACGACCTGCTCTGGATTGAAAACGCTCTGCTGGAGGTGAGTGAAGCGAAGCCATGCCACACCCTGCTCTGTTGGATCTCCTTTGCATTAAAGCCCACGCACCGACTCCATGCAACCATTTCTCCATGCAATGGAATATGGTTTTGTAGAAGCCATGGCGGTCTGTTGTTCCGTCCACCCCATGTGGCGCTGGTTGTTGTTTGGTGGCATGTGTGGGCAGGTGATGCGGCATCGTGTGAGGAGCTATCAGCTACAGGACCTCGTGTGCAACAAGTGCCGACAGGTGCCCTCCCACCCTCGCACTGCACCGCCATGTTCTATCTGCTTCCTTCTAGTCTCTCCCGTCAGCAGTCGTTTCCCCATGTACCTACACTTGTGCCACATCTTTCTGCCTTTCAATCCCAACTTCTGAATCCGTTCACCTTTCTTTTCCTCTTCTGTTTTCCCTCCTCTTCTATCCCCCTCTTTTCCCCACTCACCCGCTCCTCATTCTATCCAAATTCACCTTATGGCATCGCACCCCGTGTCCCACCCCCCTCCCACCCTCCTCAGGTGAAGTCTGCCCGGGCAGCGCTGCACTGCACGTGTGCAGGCACGTTCCGGTGCTCGCAGCAGGCAGAGCAGCTGAGGGAGGGGCTACTCGTGCTGCACTCAGTGGCCTCCTCACACGGTTTCCCCCTGCTGCTCGAATGCCTGCAGTGGCTGCTGCCTCTCTGCCGTGCCACAGGGGAGAAATGAGAGCTAACAGAGTAAGACGTGGGAGGAGTGAGAGCGGAGGGATGAAGGGAGTGGCGGAGGGGGGTGTGATGAAACAGGCAGGAGTGTGGCTGGGAGGGGAATTGTCTCATTGAAGGGAAGGATGATGGATTATCGGTGTGGGGAGAGGCCGATATGCTCATCCCGCATTAGAGGGAAACACGTGACTAGCAAGGGCGAGCCACGAGCCGTTCTGCCATGCAAGGGTGTTTAAGTCCAATGCCCGTGCAACGAGTGGTGACTTGCAGATGTGAGTCATGTACAGAAATAATTTTGTCTGTATAGGCATCAAACGGGAAGACTGCCATGGCAGCACTTTTGTATTCCTGGTACAGAAATAATATAATCTGTCTTCGTGTGCTGATGACAAAAATTAGATCCCCAAAATGCTTGTACCGCATTTCTGTTCCCACAAGAAAGCACCGTTTCTGCTGTGACCCCTTCGAAACTCGCTCCTCATTGCAACTCTGGTTTCCTCCCCATTACTCGTGCTATGGGGTCATCTGCCAAGGACACTCTCCCGTCAGCACCACACAGCAGCGCGCAGGGTAGTGCTAGCACCGGCGCAGATGATGCTGCGGCGGAGGCGGAGTTTCGTGCGGCCATGCGGTTTATCCGGAAGGGGCCATCCGCCTCCCTGCAGTACGTCGTAGACGAGAAGCGCGCCGAGCTGTACGCGTTAGAGGTGTGTTATCGCTTTGGACTTTTCTCGCTTGTCGCCGTGCCTTTACTCCTTGTCATTTTTTTCGTCGTCAACTAGATTCGGAAACGGTCAGATCAACACGGCTCTGATTTCCCTATTTTTTCAACTCCACCAGGTATCAGTGTTTTCATGCATAAAAACCATCCATATTCTCCATCCCCAACCTTTCCATGCGCCGGAAATTTCTGGTAATTGTCCACGCACCCATCACCACAGGCACAGGCAGTGCACGGCCCATGTTCTGAGGCGAGTGCAAACCCCCCCGTGCTCGAGGACCCGTCTAGCAGGCGGCGGCGCGAGGCATGGGTAGCTCTAGGGCAGATGCCGGCAGCAGAGGCTAAGAGGCAGCTGGCGGCGCTGCTCTCGCTGCTCATTCCCGACTGGCGCGATTGGGAGCCCAGCAACATGGGTGAGGGAGGGGGGTATGGAAGGGAGGGGGGAAAAAACATGAGCAGAGAAACGGTGCAAGGGCAGGGTTCCGGGCAAGATGAACTGAGTTCTCGGGACGAAAAAGGATATGCCGAGGCGCAAGAAGGAGGGCTGGCTAATCAACTGCTGAGGAGGTTTGCAGCACGCACCAACTTACCACTTGAAGCCCTAAGAGCCCGACTTTGAAGGGCTGTGGGAGTAACTGACCTGACCACCACCCATGCATGTAGCAATTATGTGACTAGATGAAATCAGCTTCAGGACCAATATAGTACTCGTTCGTGCCTTTAGACCTGCACTAGATTTTGAAGGATACCTAAAGTCATAGAAATCTTCTCAAGATTTTTAGGGGGCCTGTTGTACTCTACATTGCTGTGGCACTGTCAATCTGGATTGCTGGAGTAATTGAGGCTACTTCACAAGTGTACAGGCCCAGCAACAGGCCCCCGTATAGGATTTTAGGCACACTTATCGACCAGTTCTCCCCCTTATCGTGTGTTGGTGTTACTTGTTACCAGCATTTAGAGGCTCATGTAAGCTGTGTACCGGTATGTTGTGATATATTTTATTCCACAAGTCTCGGTACTAACATTGTTAGAAGCTCAGGAAGGTCACAGTATCAACTGTACATCCTAATGCTCGACAAACGGTTCATCAATAAAAGGGCCCTACAGGTAAGTTTACAGGCCCAACTGTATTGAGCCCCATTATCCCCCTACAGACAAGCAATGGGTTATATACAGCGGATAGGGAAAACCGAACTGGGTGTACCAAGCACAAATCAAACCAGCTGAATGCGACGGCACACGCATGACATGGCAACGTTTTGTGGTGTGGTGTGCTTCACATCCTTGTTGGAACTTGAAATGGACGTTCCTTGAGGATTGGACTAGGGGCGAATTTTGGCTTCCCGCCTCGCACGCCAGCTACGTAAGATGAGGAAGCAGCGCAGAAACAGGAGGCGCAATCCATTTGAGCAGCGGACAAGGTTGACAATTATGGAAAATTGTTTTGTTTTCTAAGGAGCAATACCGAGTTTACCGTTCAAGACACATGTAATTGCGAAATTCACACTGCTGAAACGTTGAATTGACGTACCGGTAGTGTTGGAAAATGCTACGTACTGTCGAACGCTTGTAGGTCGTTAGCGTTGCAATGGAGACAATATGACTGCACTCTGTACTGTTTCACAAGAAAAATCGGAAGGTAACCAACCAGAGTACAAGCAATAAGACATTTCGTCTTGGGGATCTTCGCATATTTAATCGTGGACCATCGCACCTCCTCGGGCGGGAACAGGAGCATGGCCCACCAACTTCTCCACAATCGTGCATGTATTGGATCCAAGCTCCAAAAGTTTTACACATGTTATTTCAGTACGTAATGTGTTTAGGTACAGTTTGATACTCGTACATCTGTTACCATAAGTAGAATTAGCGAAGCAATGTTCTGGAGAAGGAGTGTCCCATAGCTGAACAAATCAAGCTGTTCTGTACCATGAAAAAAAGAGTGGTACGCATTTGCACAGTCGGGGCGGTGGGAAAATGTGTGTGGCCTTGTTTAACTGGACTCTCGTGCTCTAGAAGTTTCTTCTGTTGTGGCAATATCTTCCTTGGCCTTCGTCTCATCGTCGACTCGACACCCTGGTTCGACAAGTCGCAACTCCTCGTCCAGTCCACATTTGACTGCCAGGAAGTGTCCAAAGCGCGAGTGGTTCCAATAAATAACCGAACTGCGCACGCTCTGAAGGAGAACAGTACAGGACAGGAATTGACATTGATAGGGCAAGCTGTTCGGCATCACCGAATGTACACCTTAAATTGAATACAGTACCCGCATTGGTTTGTGACACAATCTTCTTCCGCTTGTTGCATGCATGTTCTCTCAATTCAGTCTCAGTGGGGCGCAATTTCGTAAAGTTCAACAGGTGGCAAGCGTGAGCACTCGCACGGATGCGACACCACCTTCCGCCCAAACATCCAGTTTTATTGAATTCTTATGTTGGCTGGGGAAAGACAGGTTCTGGTCAACTCTGTTCATGTCATCACGAATTCACCAGTCCTTTCTTTCCTGCCCCACGCTGCCCTCGGGTACAGTGCGGACAGTGTATCTTGTACAAATCGTACTTTACAGTATTTTTCATTGTCTGCAAACCTGCCCAATGCTGTTGGTGGAACTGACTCGTTGTGCCAGCGCGGCTGTCTCAGAAGATTTGCGCGGCCTTTTTGAGATCTTGGTAAGGCTCAACGACAATCCAAGTCCGTGGGACATGAACCACACAAGCATTGGCCAGCCGGTTTGGTCCCCTCCCCTAACCCCTCCTCAACGCTTTGGAACTCCAGTCTGAACTGGAAAAGCATAACCAACCCGTTCAGCAGTCTCAAGTCTCCGGTACCGAGAAAGTTGATCCTGATCTGAACTAAACCACTGATATGATAGCTAACACTGAACAATGGCTCTAAGATAGTGGTTCGAGCTCAGCTCCTATTACTAGTGACGCCGTTCGAACGGTTGCAGGTTCGAGGATCCTCAACGGCGTTGCAGGTTGGAGAACAAAGCAGGAGCAGCATAATGCTGGCATAGACATCTTCAAGTTGTACCAGCGATCGCCTCCATATCGAGTAGGGATTCGTTTGTGCTTACATGAGTTTTTTTTTTTTTTTAGTTACGCGTTTTCTCAAATCGAGGGTATCTAGAAAAATAAAACTTGAAAATACCTCGTATAACAAGCCAGACTGACAATAGTAAGGTAGGGGGAAAAGGGTGGCGGCGGAGCTGGTGGGGGAGTGCGATAAATTTCACAGGAAGGTTACCAGGGAGGAACTGAAAGCAGTGATGGGTAGCAACGGAAGGATCATAGAGGGAGACTTTTGAAGCGGGAGAGTAGAGGATGGGAATACAGGCTCCGCATGGAAGTTAATGACATATCAATTATAAACACGAGCCTTTGTTCCACTTAATTTTTATTTTATTTTATTTTATTTTATTTTATTTTCCTTTTTTTTTTCGCTCTCTTGAACCCCTGTGGTGCCATTGAGTTGCAGGTCCATCATCATGGTCAGCCGCTGGTACATGGTCGCATCATCACCTTGCACTTCCTTACTACTACTACACCTAGTAGTAGTACTCCGTGTAGTAGTAGTAGCACTAGTACTGGCTCACTGATAATGCTAATTCCTGGGGTGGAAGCTGGTGCACGGATCTGTTTGCACCTTAAAGCCAGCTTCAGGGTGAAGGTTTCTGCATGCTTCTTGTCTCGCCTGCCTCCCACCTCGGGTGAAGTAGTAATGCCTCAGCGGAGGCTGGATCGATCGAAACAGCACAGCCAGGCATCCGAACAGCACCAGCATGATCACCATCAGCAGCAGCAACAAGAAGCATATGAGCAGCCAGATTATCGCAGGGAGCAGCGTGGTCGCAGTATTACTGGGCATGGTACGGCTAGACAGCATGATGCTTTAGATGCAGGTGCAGAAGAAGGAAAAGGTACTCTTAACTTCAACATTGCACGCTCTGCTCTCCAGAGAAGCCTGGGACAGTCTGGGGCGTATGGCAGGTCGGAAGGATCTCTGGCTGAGCCGCAGCAACAACAGCGGCGGCGTCACCCGCAGCAGCAGCAGCAGCACCACCAGGAGCAGCAGCAGCAGCACCACCACCACCACCACCACCACCACCAGAAGCAACAGCAGCAGCAGCAGCAGCAGCACCAGCAGCATCGTCCTCCTGAGCACCATCCCCATGACAACCGTCCCAACGAGCACCCTCCGCCACTGCACAATCCACATGTTCAAGATCGGCCACACGAGCATCGCTCTCACAAGCCTGCAGAGCAGCGAGGACTGCTGCAGCGGCATGGACTGCCACAGGTGCCAGCTGAAGTGAGGGAGTGCCAACTTAGACAAGGCGGTGGTGCAGGGCCTCGTGTGGACTGGTTGTCCACTGCAGCGGCTGAGGAATTGACCGGCTTTGCAGCAAGGGGAATGGGGACTGCAGGTATTTTGGGGAGAGATGGTGTGAGGGAGGCTTCTATTAGGGACGGTGAGGAGGGAAGAAAAAAGGGGGACAGAGGGAAGGAGGTGGAAGGATGGGAAGATGGGGAAGGAGGGGAAGGCAGGGAAGGGGGGGAAGGCGGGGAAGGAGGGGAAGGAGAGGAAGGAAGAGGAGGAGGGGAAGGAGAGGAAGGACGGGAAGGAGGGGAAGGAGAGGAGGTGGGGGAGGGAGGGGAAGGAGGGTCAGATGCGGATGGCACAGCGGCTTCAGGTGCAAATGGGGAGGGCGACATGAGGGACGAGGGGTCAGTGCCTCGGAAGCGGCTGCGGTTGACTAAAGTGCAGTCGCTGCAACTGGAGGAGAAGTTCGCCCTCGTGTCTTCTCCCAACGCTGTACGCCCCTTAACAAGTTCCCCGATGGTGCTCCTCGTGCCAGCTGCTTCCGTTCTTGCATTCTCAAGCGCTCCACCTTACATATGTCTCTGGATCTTTCTGCATGGTTCATTTGATTTGCTTTGTGTGCACATATGCATGCACTTGCGGATCTGGGTCTGGAGGGGTGAGGGGTAGGGGAGTGTGCAATGGGGGAAAAGGGGTAGGGGGTGTGTATGCATGCATGCGTGCGTGCGTGTGTGTGTGTGTGTGTGCGCGCGCGCGTGCGCACGTGCACGTGTGTTTGGGTGTGTGTTCGACTGTTTTTTCCAACGTTCCAGTCATTCAGAGTAATCAAATTGAGCGACTACTGCTAGTAGTAGCAACCGTGTACATTCGTTTGTCGATACGTGTGTCTGTTTATGTGCGCCGCACTCTTACGTGGGTTTGCCTTCCTTTCCTCCTTCCGCTCGCCCGTGACAGGCAGAGAAGGCGGCCTTTGCAAGGGAGCTACAGCTGCAGCCACGGCAGGTGGAGGTGTGGTTCCAGAACCGACGTGCACGGTGAGAGACGAACTCGGTATCTGGGAGGCCGGGGAGTAAGTACTTTTGAGGCGCCTCAAAAGAGGTGTGGTTCCAGAACCGACGCGCACGGTGAGTGACGGACTTGGAAACTGGGAGACCGGGGAGTAAGTAAGAGAGAGGAGCGGTGGTGAGAGAGAGGAGAGTAGGTGAGAGACATAGGAGTGGATGAGAGAGAGGAGAGTATGTGAGAGAGAGGGGAAGAGTGGGGAAGAGTGGGGAAGAGGTGATAGAGAGGAGAGAAGGAGAAGAGTGGGGATGAGGGAGAGGAGAGTAGGTGAGGGAGAAGAAAAGAGGTGAAACAGAAAAGAGAGGGTGAGAGAGAGGAGAGTAGGCGAGAGGAGAGAAGATTAGGGCGAGGAGATCAAGTAAGAGAGATGAGAGGAGATGAGGGAGAGGAGGGTAGGTGAGGGAGAGGAGGGAGAGGAGTGGAGATGTGGGAGAGGAGAGTAGGTGGGAGGGGAGAGAGGAGGTTAGAGAGAGAGGAGAGAAGCTGAGGAGCGGAGAATAGGTGAGAGAGAGAGGAGCGAGGGTTAGGCAGAAGGGGTAGGTGAGGGAGAGACGAGGAGGTGCTGCAGAAGATTAGGTGAGAGAGAGGGATGAAGGTGAAGGAGGGAAGAGGATGTGGGTGAAAAAGGAGGTGAGGGAGAGGAGATTAAGAAAGAGATAAGAGTGAAGATGAGGGATAGAAGGGTAGGTGAGAGAGGGAGGAGGTGAGACCGAGGATAATAGGTGAGAAAGAGGAGCGAAGGTTAGCCAGAAGAGGTAGGTGAGGGAGACAGGTAAGAAGGTGAGAGAGAGGAGATTGGGTGAGGAATAGGAGAGCAGTTGATGGGGGGGAGTAGGTGAGGGAGAGGAGAGTGGATCAGAGAGATGACAGGAGGTAAGAGAGGAGAGCAGGTAAGAAGAGGAAAGAGCAGTGGCAGAGAGAGGGGAGAAAGTAGGTGAGGGAGAGGATAGTACGTGAGCTGGAGGAGAATATATAATACAGGGAATTTCGGGTGATAGAGGAGAGTGAGTAATTGAGTGAGAGGAGGGGTACGAGAGTGTTTTGCACAAATTCTGGAGGTAATCAGAGTACATGTGTAATGAATGTCAATCGCTCTCCTTATCTTGCTACTGTGGCTTCACCTATAATGAGGTGCCTACGTGGGGATTCGTGTAAATCCGCGACTTGTTTGACACATGGCTGGCTCCTTTATGGCGACACAGTCGTTGCTGACTTGAAGCCACAAGAAGCTTCCTTGGTCTGTGGTGTGTGTCCGGTGCATGCACAGGACACCACCTGTCTGCCACAGCACCGGTCTGCCTGCCTGATCACCTTGAAGCACAGCAAGATTCTCCTTAGAGTCGCATCCCCTTGGTGCATGCAGCATCCGTTTGTATATTTCAGTTGCGGCTGCGGCACTGATCCACTCTTTCCTACTGCCGTCTCCTCTCACATATCCCTGCTGTTCTCCCTGTGTTCCCAACCTGAATTGCATGTGCACATGTGTGCACTTACGCATGAATGAATGTGTGGATGTATGTGTCCGTGCGTGTGTGCGTGAATGCGTATGGCCATGTGTGGATGGGTGCATGTGTGCATGTGTGTGTATGCATGTGAGCATATGTGAGTGTGTGTGCATGTGTGTGTATGCATGTGAGCATGTGTGAGTGTGTGTGCATGTGTGTGCGTGTCTGCATGTGTGTGAGTGTGTGTGCGGGTGTGCATGTGTGCATGTGCGTGCATGTGTGTGTCTGTGTGTGCATGCGTGTGTGCATGTGCATGTGAGAGTGGACCAGGCATCGGCTGCGGCAGGCAGAGGACGATTGTGAGCAGCTGAGGCGGAGGTGTGAGCAGCTGGAGCGGGAGAACGAGCACATGCAGCAGCTGCTAGTGCAGGTGGGCCGAGGAGGGGCGCTGCTAGATAGTGCGGTCCTTAGTGGGGTTGTTGCGGAAGGTGTGCTGGTGGCAGTGAATGTGGGTGGAGTCTAATAGGACGGCAGGAGTGAGGCAATGGATGGGCGTTGGCAGAGCGTACGGGTTGACGGTGCTCACATTTTCTGCTTCCCTGCTGCTTCCCTCCAAGCTGTTCCATCTCTCTGCTGTGGTTTCCACTGCTTCTCTTCTCCACGCGTCCAGCTAACAAACTCCCACTAGATCCTCACGCTGTCTCTTTTGTCAGTAGTTAACCCTAAACCCTCAGCCCTTCCTCTTCTTTTCGTTTTCCATATTGCTCTCCGTTTGCCCCTTCATAGCCTATACGTCCACCAAGCTCATCCGCCTCCTCTCCGTCCCTTCGCCCCTCTCCCACCTCCTCGTGGATGCAGAGCTCAGAGCCAGCAGGCCTCAGTGCATCAGTGGCAGCTGCTACCACCAGAGGTGGGGCACCGTTTGTCAGCCCCCACCTGTCCGACTCAAGAAGAGAAGGCATCAGGGAACGCAGTGACCATGACACACCGCGTGCTATGGACCTGCATCGTGATTTGCACGTGCCACGTGATTTAGTGCGCACGGAGAGTGCCACAGGAGATAACAGCAGACCGTCTGACAGCATCACCCTGTGCCCCTCATGCCTCTCACAGCCCTTGGGAAACCATGCAGTACCGATGTTCAACTCAAGTGGAGTCGGACCGGCAGAGTACGCAGATCCTGGTAGCAACCAGGTGGAAACTGGTGTTCAGCTTGAGAATTCGACTCCAGGTAGTGGACATGGTTTTGACTTGAACTTAACCCTGTGAAGTTTTTTTTTGTTGTGATGCGATGTATGCTTGTTGTTAAGGTGCTCCGATCGAGCATCTTTGAGCGGTCAACTGATTTAATGCGTTGTAGCCTCGTGGGTAATCCACCAGGGGAGCAAGTATGTTTTTATGCGGTACCAGTGTAACTAGAGAGTGTGGATGTGCTGCTGACCACAACCATACACATTGTGTAAGTGTGCTAAGCATAAAGCAACCAAGCGGATGTTATAGATTTGGTTGATTTGCCAGCTTGTTCTGCCCTTGCCAACTGCAAACGAGCGGCCTAATTTCACTCCATTCAATAGCTTTCCTTTCAACGGCTGACAAAATATTCGCACCCACACCTTTGACATGCAGTTCCTTAGGCTTGTTTGGTTGTACTTAGCCACTTGCAATGGGATTTCTTATATAGGATGACAAAATCTCAGAATCCTAGCCGTTAACCACTAGGATATATGGGCTTGTTATAGCGGGTGAGCGCACCCATAACCCCCCAGGCTAGCGAGCCTGTAACCATGTACCTAAAATCAATCTGGCATCCCTAGTGCATGTCTTCATACGCAGCAGCCGGCCTCACCACCTATGTCTGCACTTCGCCTCCTTAGTCTTTCTTACCCCTCGACTAACCAACCACCTGTTCCCCCCACACAGTCTCTCCCGGTCTACGGTCCCACATTTCCGACTTCGATCTCGACTCCGGCTCGTCTTCCTCCTCGGTCACAGCTGTTTCCTCCTCTGTCTCCTGGCTCGTCTCCTTCCTCCCCTTACTGGGTCCGTCGCCCCCCTCATGCTCGCCCTCTGTCTCCCCTTCCCCGTATCCACTCCATGCTCCTATGTTCTTGTCCCCCTCGTGTTCTGCCTCCCTCTGTTCTCCCATTACCTCATCTGTCGTCCCTTACTGCCTCCTCTCCTCCGTTATCTGACTTCTCCCGTGCCGCTCGCCCTACGGCCTCTTCTCCTTTCCTCTCTCGTTACCGAGCCCATTGCTCCTACTCAGTCCGTCTTAGCTCTTCGTCACTGCTCTGGCTGACTTCGTCTCTTTTCCTGCCCGTCCTTCGTCCATCGGGGATGCTCCTGCCCTTGGCAGTGACGTCCAAGAGGACAGGCAGTTCGAGCTGGCTTTCCTTTGCGGCCGTTGTTCCTCAACTCTGCGCCATGCTACTAGCCCTTGTGGTTAACCCATACGCTCTTGACATCCCAACCCCTCGCACCCACGCTGAGGCGGTCACGGGACCTTGGGCCTCTCATTGGATAGCAGCCATGGACGCAGAGATGGCATTTTGGAGGTCCACATCCACCCACCTGGGGCAAACGGAGTCGATGGCATGTGAATCTTCGAGGTAAAGCAGCCAACTGGAGCGCCGCCTGTTTTCAAGGCCCGCTGTGTGACTTCGAGAAGCTTTAGTCAGCGAGATATGCTTGACTTCTTTCAGACCTTCTCCCCCAACCCGAAGATGATCACTCTTTGGGTACTGCTGCACATCGTGGCACATCTTGACTACGAGCTTCACTCGCTTTGCTTCTCGACTGCCTTTCTCCAACGCAGCCTGAATGCGCAAATCTTCCTCCGCCGCCCACCTGGCTTCACTGGGTCCTTTCCTCCTGTTACCCAATGGAGCCTTCGGCGGCTCGTCTACGGTCTGCTCCTCATGAGTGGCAAGAGACACTGCGCACTACTCTGGCATACCTTCGCTTCTTCATGTCCTCAGCTGACCCGTCTCTCTTCATTCGCTCGGGTTCTAATCATTTATTCATCCTTTCTACATCGACGACCTTGTCTTCACTACTCCAGACAGAGTCGCACTGGAATCAATGAAGGCCGCGCTGTTGATGTGATACGCTTGCACTGACCTAGGTGAACTATGCCACTATCTTGGCCTGCATATCACTAGGGACAGAGCAGCGTGCACCATCACTCTTACTCAGTCACACATGGTGCAGCAGGTCCTCTAGCACTTTGGTCTTCAGTTCTCCTCCGCACACACTCCCACTGCATGTTAGCCATACGCTCTCGGCTCCTGTCCTTGACGAGCCGGTTGAGCCCAGTAGTCAGTATGCAAAGCTGGTGGGGTGCCTCATGTACCTGATGACCTGCACTTGGCCAAATCTCGCATATCCTTTCAGCATCCCTGCTCGTTTTGTTGAGACTGGGAGACACCGACCCGAGCACTCGTTAGTTGCTAAAATGGTATTGCGCTATCTGGCTGGTACATCACGGATGGGGCTTGTGCTTGGAGGATGACAGCCAGTCTCTCTCACGGCACACACTGACGCGACGTTGGTAGACGACATCGAGACTTGCATGTCCTCTCTGGGCTATTGCTTCAGTCTTGCCGCCGAAGCTGTCTCGTGGAGGTCCACTCGCTCGTTGTCGGTGGCGCAATCCAGCTGTGAGGCAGCTATCTACACTGACGCTGTGGCTTCTCAGGAGGTCTGCTGGCTGACGTTCTTGCTCACTGACTTGCGTGAGCCGCCTAGTTTTGCCTCTGTCTTGTTCGTTGATAACAGGGCCATGTTCCTCCTACGTCAGGAGTCTAGACTGAAGGGCAGAGCGAAGCACATCCAGGTGCGACACTTCCATAATTCGTGAGTTGCAGCAGCGCGGCCAGTCACGCGTAGTACATTTGGCCTCAGGGGCCAACACCACTTATATCTTCACTAAGGCGCTCCCGCCTCATGATCATCAGCGGCTCTGCACACATGGCCTTGTCCTAGCATTACCTCACTTGTTATGATCTTACTCTCTGTACACCACTTGATTTGATCTTGTCTTATTATACGCATTGATTGGCCATTTATCTCAGAGGCTAGTCTAGTAGTGCCGCCCTGGGTTGTATTGTAACTCATACACTCTGATGTTCTTGCTGGCTGGCCTTGTGGCCTCTTCAAGAAACGTTCCAAGTTTGGGTAGGTTAGGAGGAGCTAAGGAAGGTGACGAGAGAGTTGGCAAAGAGAAGAGGGGTTTCACTAAAGAGAAAAGCCCGTGATGTACAAGCAAGGCAATGCTATAAGTGCACCACCAACGCTACAATAAACTACACGACAGTAATGCAACATGCAGTTATATATATATATATATTTATAGTTTGACACCACCCCATGAATGCCTGGAGCAAAAACCTGTGCAGGAACACCCCCTGAAGGGGTACACCTCCCAACAGAAGAAGAAAGGCAGATTCAGAGGAAAGGCGCAGCGGAAGAAGCATTTGCAGCGGCAGCATCTGCAGTGGCGGCAGATGCAGTGGTGGCAGATGCAGCGGCGACAGATGCTTGGCGATGGCAGATGGAGCAGCGGCAGGTGCGGCGGCAGCAGGTGCTGGGGCGGCAGATGTGGCGGCTGTAGTAGGGAGCGGCGGCAGCTGCTCAGAGGCGATAGGTGCGGCAACAGTAGATGCACCGGCTATAGGTGCAGCGGTGGCAGTTGCTCAGCGGCTGCAGGAGGAGGAGTGGCGGGGAGAGTGAGGAGGAGGAGGAAAGGGCGCAGCGGGCAGAAGGGGGGGAGAGAGAGAGAGCGAGAGAGATAGATAGAGAGAGAGAGAGAGAGAGAGAGAGAGAGAGAGAGAGAGAGAGAGAGAGAGATACAGAGAGAGAGAGAGAGAGAGAGAGAGAGAGAGAGAGAGAGAGAGAGAGAGAGAGGTAAGCATGATCACTCCCGCCACCCCACAGCGGCGGGCGCGGCAGGGCGGCGGCTGGAGCTGCAGGTTCACTCCCGCGACCCCCTTAACCTCCCCCCCACAGCGGTAGACGTGGCAGGGCAGCAGTTTGGGCGGCGGCTGGAGCTGCAAGTTCACTTCCGCCAACCCCTTAGCCTCCCTCCCACGGCAGACGTGGCAGGGTGGTAGGAGGGGCGGCAGCTGGCGGTGCCGGCCCACGGGCGTCACCCCCTTTGCCTCCCCAAAGCTGACCGCCACCCCTTTCACCTCCCCCCACAGCAGGAGCGTAGCGGTAGTCGTGGGTGAGGGGGGGGAGGGGGGGTGTGTGACGGGTGCGATGGGAGCCGCGATGAGGGCGGCGACGGGGGCGACAGGGGCCGCGGCGAACTTCACGCCAGGGGTCCCGACATACGCCGTCGGGACCGTCTCGATGGGTCTAGTGACGGGGGGCGTGACGGGTGCAGCGAAGAGGGGGCCATGACAAGTGATTGGCCTAGGAAATTTGACACTTGCCTCCGAGGCTGGACTACGGTAGTAGTGCCGCCCTGAGTTGTTTTTTGTCTAGGCACTGCCCCTAGTCTAGAGGGTTGGTCGACATACACATACACATTTGTATGTGCATATTACGCTATGTTGGGTTGTACTGATCCCTACTGGTCATCCCTACATATTCCCCCTGTAAGCCCTGTTCTAAGCATTTTTACTTCCTAACATTTTTACTCCCCTCCCCCCCACCTCCCCCTCCCCTGTTTTTTTTTTTTAAGCAAGCAAAAAACATAACGCAGCTCTTTGCACTAGCATTGGTGGCTTTTGAGGTGCTTGACCCTGTCGGGGTCGCGATGAGGTGATCTGGGGTGTGCGACCTTCAAGTTGTGGTGTTTCCCACTCCCAGATCCTGAGGAAATAGCCATTCAGCTGCTAATTTAGGTTGGTTGTTCCTACATTTCGGTTGGCTCTGCAGAGGCAGGATGGATGATGAATATTTCTACTTTGTATGCATAACACTAGTAGTATTGAAATGCATATAACATAACATATTTTCTTGCCAAGCTATGCAATTAACCCCAGCTATAATGATCACCTATACAACATTCCCACACAACTGGCACTATGTACTACCGGTAAGACTAATGCTGCACTCACATTGCGACTGGCTGGACTGCCAGCACAGTCCGCACCGAGTGACCATCCCCATCCTTCCAGGTGAGGCTCCCATACTTGAACTCCTCTGAAGTTTTTGTAACCTTGAGAGTCACCGTGTACCACACCTTCTTACCCGCACCAATGGTGAACTTCTTGGGAGAAACCTTAACAGACACCCCTTTGGGAGACTTGATCTTGACCTTGTACGTGGACTTAGAGTCCGCAACATTAGTCACGCGCCTGGTCACAGTGAGATTCCCTTTCAGCCGGGCCACAGCGATGCTCGCCCGGTTCAGGTTCCGAGGAGGCATTTTCACAAGCTTTGCATCGGGGAACTCTGCCTGTGCCTTTGAAAGGCTCTGCCCTGCGAGAAAGTTCATGTAGTAGGCTGCACGGGCGTCGTACGTGAGCCCAGGGTCGAGCACCTTGGGCGGGTACACATGCCCCTGACCCATCTCCCACGGCGTTGCAGAGTCGCCGTTGTCATTCTTGATGTTCTTGTCATCGGTGTTGGATGTAACCGCCGTTGTCATGATAGCAGACATGACCTGCGCGGGGCTCCACTTGGGGTACTTTTGCAGAATGAGAGCCGCAATGCCCGCCAAGTGAGGCGTAGCCATGGATGTACCAGATTTCTGAGAGTATGACCCAGTCTCGCCGACCGTCTTTCCCGGGGCGGCAGCGTACAGTTTCACGCCAGGGCCGACGATGTCGGGCTTTAAGATGCTGTTGGTGGGTCCTGCATTGACGGCATTGGTCCAGGGGGGGCAGACGGGGCCAGTGGACGAGAAGCTTCCAATCCGGGGGGCAGCGTCGCCTAGAGGGTATGCAGACAGCATGGAAGCTGATGATGAGTCGTTGATGGCCTTGGGAAGGACAGCACCATTACGCTCAATGGAGCTGCAGGACAACGGACAAAGGCATTGACAGGAATCGGTTCAAGGACAAGCCAAGGGCGAATCACGTGCAAATGAGTAGTAGGGCGGGAATCAGTGCAATGAATTAGAGAGAAATGCTGCTGCTCACCTTGCTCCAACAGTGAGGTAGAAAGGTGAGAAGTTGGAAAGGGTTCTGTACGAGTTAACGTCGGTGCCGTTGGGAGGTCCGGAGTTGCCCGCAGCATACGTCACAAACACCCCCGCGAGGTTCGCATTGAGCAGAGGAATCTCATCAAAGTACGAGGCACCCTCATAGATGCCTCCCAGTGAGAGCGAGATCACATCCACGCCGTCCGCCACCGCTTGATCTACGGCTGCCAAGATGTCATCAGAGTTGGCAGTGTTGGAGCCATTGTACGTCCAGAACACCTTGTAGATCGCCAGCCTGGCAGCCGGCGCCATGCCGCTCGCCTTGCCGCCCGCCATAGCCACATCCTTGTTGCCGGCCGCAGCTCTGAAACACACAAGGAGGGAGAAGTGGGATGGGGAGGGATGAGCATCAACTTGATTCGAGTCATGCGAGGCGGGATGACGGGAGGCATGGGAGAACCAAGAGCGTCACAGGGGAGCAAGCAAGCGGCGCGGCAGGATGCAGGAGCCAGGAGTCAAGGGTCAAGAGCACGCACCCAGCACACCAGGTGCCGTGGCTTCCCGCGTCGCGAGGCGAGAGCCAATCAGCAGTGAGGTCGGGGTCGCTGCCTTTGTCTTTCTTGGCGCCGGCGTAGATGGCACGCGCGCCGATGATCTTGTTGTTGCACTTGAAGTCTGCTGTCGTGTCGCACTTGCCCGTCCATCCCGCTGGCTTCGTGGAGCTGAAACCCTGTTGGGGTGGAGCGCGACAGGGATGATGGAAGCACGGACGACGCGGGGTCACGAGCAGGAGTGGGGGAAGGGAGGGGCGAATTGCAGAGCCAGGCCATTATTCTCAGCAATCATACGTTTGTAATGAGCGGGGCCGTTTTTGTTACCCGAGACGAGCGGGGAAGAAATTCGTTTCCGGATTCCTTCCACTGCTTTCGCGATTCGGTCTAACAATTATCCACGGCGCAGCAGACGCGACATTCCTTTGGGAAAAAAATGGTAACAATAATAATTATTAATAACAATTAAAAAATCGTGCGCAATCTGCGACGATCATATTCTCATCTTACCGAGTCGCTGAACGACGGGTGCTCCGGCCAGATGCCCGTGTCGACGATTGCGACAACCATGCCGTCACCCGCGCTGCTCTGCCCGCCGTTGTTGGGCCACAGCGACCCGTCGCCGCCCATGTTCAGGAACGTGGGCGAGTCGGTCGTGAGGTGTCGCACTTCGTAGCTTTCCCGCACCGACGCCACTGCCGAGTGCCGCCGCAGCTGCCACGCCTGGAGGGGCGTCAGCAGCGCCGCGAACCCGTGCAGCGCGTACTTGAAGCTGACGGGAGACGAGCGGGAACGAGCGGGGACGAGCGGGGACGAGCGGGGGCGACGGGGCGCAGAGGGGCGAAACGGGGAAGAGCCGAGAAAGTGGAGAACCGTCAGGGTTTTGAGTGAATGCCATGCGGTGGTTGTGGGACCCCGGAGGTGATATCGACCGCAACTTGAAGTCATTGTAAGCACCATGATACGATAGGTCTCTCACTCACCTGTAAGTGATTTGGTCCGCGGAAAGACCCACAGAAGCGGCGACCTGGTTCTGCTGATACTCCAGCAGATTCGCGTGCGTGCGAATCTGGGGGTTTTCCATCGTCAGCCGCGCGCGCCGGGGGATTCCGCGCCCGATCATGGTCCGCGCCTCCGCCGCCAGCGTGGTCGGCGTGGCCATGAGGGAGGCCGGCACAGAGGCGCTGCCGGTCTGGTCGTCATCCGTCCACCCCGGGTAGATCGAGAAACCCCGGCTATACGCGGCGAGGGGAAGGGAGGAGTGGAGACGCACGCTGTAGTGCTTGAGGTTGCCCTGTCGCGGCGCTGAAAAAATGAGCGCGGGGTGGAAAAAACAGTAGAGAGACAGAAACGAAGCAGCGCTTGATGGGGAGGCTTACGAGGCGTTTTCTTGAAAGTCTTTCTGACATGTATTAGCAAGAAAGAATGCGCGGCAGGTTACCCGGCTGGAGAAGGCCGCGTTGCGCGAAAAAAATCCTCCGATTGGGAAGTCGAGCGGTGATTTTCCGCACGTTATCGCCGCCGCAGGGAAAGCCTTGAAAGGGTCATTCCGAGGGGTCTCTTCAGTGGAAGTCCGCGGGGTCCCCGACGAGAATTAACTGCGACGGCTCACCTTGAGCCAACGCGTCGCATTGGCCGACGGCGACGGCGAGCAGCACGAGGATGGCGATGGCGGCGTCGTGGCGGAATGGCTTGAATCGATGCAACGCTTGTCCTGCCGCCATCTTGGTGGGGAATATCTGGCACGGCATGGAGAGCACGTGAGATTGCGAGATTCAAAAGGCACGTATACAAACTAAGCGAAAGCGGCAGAATCTGCGCTCACAGACTTAGGAAAACGCTGGCGGCTGTGTTCTTGGTAAAGCACAGGCAGCCTGAGATGACACAACACTGCGCTGAGTGTGTGGTGCACTGTGGGATGGATGGATGGAATGGATAAATGCGCGCCCTTTTACAGGCAGATGCTAACCCAGGGCTGCCTTGCCCTCCGTACCGAGCGTTAATGTGGTGTGGAGTGGTATGGTACGGTTTGGTCCCGAAACGGCGGTCCCCTGCGGCTCGCACTGCACACAATGCAGTGACCAGAGCCCCTTCTGTGTTGTTTTGTCTACACTGTGTTCTTGTGCCGTGGCTCGGCTCCAAGCCACCTGATGTGCCTTGGATTCATGTCTGCTCCACTTGGGATTCTAGAACACCCTGGCAACACAGATTGGCGTGTGCTCCCGGCGAGGATATACGAACAATAACGTTCTTGCTCTTATTGAAAAGAAAAATATTCTTAAAAAAAAACTGCACGAAAATGGATGCGCTTTCGAGTGAGTACGGGGGTGGAGTGGCAGCGGTGTGATGGAGTAGAACGCACGGCCCAAAAATGAGATTTTACTTAATGTTTTCCTCTCTGGAGAGTCTGCAGATTTCAGTCCATACGGAAATCAAATCTACGAGTCCCTTAGGGTGTCAGGGCCACAACATCCTCACAGAAATACACTTTTTGACAATTGCGAGACAAGAGAATGGCTCCTGACCCCTGGGATCAACCACTCTTTGAGATCGTTTCCGCCGCAAGTTGTAAACAGTGTCTCCCTACGTGCATGCGCGCCTTTCTGAACGAAATACCCTCAAAGTTTCTCTCCAAATCATCCTCCGCTCAAAGTGTGCCTAATGGTGGTTATCTGTTGGAGTTTGATGAGTGTTGTTGTGCTTAGCTGTTGCCGCTCATTGCCTTGAGCGATATTTTCACGTTCGAACGGCACTCAAAAGGAGAACAATCAATTTCAGGTGCACTAGCATTCTGTTCAGGGTGATCTGTTACCGCACAAATGTACAGTTTTACGCATCGCAAAGTGTGTGGGGATGCCGTAGGGCTGCGCCGCTATACCGCAGCGCACTCGTTGCCGCGGCAAGAGGAAACCTCGAGAGCGATTCGCGCTGCTTCGACAGCGTTCCGAAGCAGGGGTTCACGTTCGCTAGGTGAGGTAGGGGGGGGGAGGACAATTGCGGCGGCCAAGTTGGGGGAGGGGACCAGGGCTCTCTTTTGGGCCCACTCTTCCATTCCATTTCAGGGTTTCGTGTGCGCGCCAACCAGCCCAGTTGAAAAAATCATGGAATGCAGGGTCAAAATTATAGGACTGTTATATGCCGAGTGGATTTGAACCGGTTCAGCATTGCAAGGTTGTTCTTTCTGGTCGTTCCACCACTCTCAAGCACACGTCTTCCAATTGAAGTCGACTGTAAGTTTCTGTTAGCAACGAGCTAGGCCCAGAAGAGATTTCTGTGCTGCTCTAACAAACGGACATTCGGTGCAAGCATTTCGTTTAGCTTTTAGACCTGGTAGACTTCCAGCATCCGAAGGAAGTTCATGCAGTTTTGGGACAAATCATGCGGAAGCCGCCTAAATTCGATATTTAAAAGTTTTCCGACAACAGTACAAAAAAGAACCACCATTTCTAGGATACAACACCCTGAAAAGGGGATCCCTGGATGCGACTGGAACCGCCACGCCGAACCATAGTGCGACATGCGAGCTTCTGGATGTTGCAGAAGTGCAGCATTCGTCAAACGCGAACTTCGGCTACTGTACAGAATGCAAGATCCAAAGTCGCCATTGCACAGTGAATGCTTCTCACACTAACGGATAAGAGGGAATGGTGGCACGAGTGATAACTGCGGAAAGCGTGGTAAGTTTCCCCGCTAGTAAGTTTCTCACAAGACGATCCTTCCTTGCGGCTGTAAATGGCCTTTTTATGTGTACTTAACTTTACAGACATTACCCTGAGAATAACCTAAAGAACCTTCAGCTTCAGCTTCAACCGGGGTAGGTACCAGTTGCTGACGGGTTGTATATAAATTTGAAATTAGCGGGAACTTCCTTGAGCAGCTGCAAGTTTGGAAAATCTTCTAAAGCCAGTTGAGCAGCTTTTTCCATTTCCAGTGTGAATGTGATAAAATGCCTGTTCTGTGTTTTTGCAATCTCAAGCAGTAATTAACCTTAACAATAAGCAGACGAATCCCAATTGTGTTTCTGAGTTATATTACCTTCACTGTTGAGAATTCTCAAAAGCCGTTCAGATGGAAGCTCTCTCGCACGCCATCGCGCGCCCGTCACGCTCCGGCCTTCCACCAGCCGCCACACACATACACACACACACACACCCACATAATGGGGGTGGTGGAATGGAATGAGGGGCAGCAGCAGCAGATTACAGGGGCACGGTGGAAGGGGATGGAGAGGCACCAGTTGCGGCAGCATCGGCAGTAGTTAAAGTTGCAGCAGAAGCAGAGGTTGCCGGATTTGAGGCAGGAGAAGGGGTGCGACGAACAGCCGAGGCAGGAACAGAGCCAGGAGCAGAGGCAGGAAACACAGAGGGCCTGGAGGAAATGGTTCCTAGAAAAGGAGGTGTGTGGGGCATGGTTGGCGGGAAGGAAGGCCGGGGGGGGTGATGGAGGGTAGTCGGTGGATTTGTGGGAACAGAAGGACTGGGGGCAGAGAGAGCGGCGTGAGGGTGAGAGTGAGTGGGTGCGAGGTGGGGTTGGTGATAGTGGAGTGATGGGTGCGATGCAGCAAGAGAGCTAGATGTGGAATAAGTCGGGTCTGTGCGAGACTTTACTGGTGGGGAAGGGAGAGGTGGGATGGAGGAAGGAGGGTGGGTGGAAGCAGGAGGATGTGAGGAGGGAGGATGAGAGGAGGGGGGAGGATGAGAGGAGGGAGGAGGATGAGAGGAGGGGGGAGGATGAGAGGAGGGAGGAGGATGAGAGGAGGGGGGAGGATGAGAGGAGGGAGGAGGATGAGAGGAGGGGGGAGGATGAGAGGAGGGAGGAGGATGAGAGGAGGGGGGAGGATGAGAGGAGGGAGGAGGATGAGAGGAGGGAGAAGGATGAGAGGAGGGAGAAGGATGAGAGGAGGGTGGAGGGTGGGTGGAAGGAGGAGGATGTGAGTAGGGAGGATGAGAGGAGAGAGGAGGATGAGAGGAGGGGGGAGGATGAGAAGAAGGAGGAGGATGAGAGGAGGGAGAAGGATGAGAGGAGGGAGGAGGATGAGAGGAGGGAGGAGGATGAGAGGAGGGAAGAGGATGAGAGGAGGGAGGAGGATGAGAATAAGGGGGAGGATGAGTAGCTTTGGCCTGCTGACCAGCTGAAGACAGCAAGTGAGATGGACCATGGGAGGAAGGAGCAGAGTGGTGGTAACCGTGCGGTTGCATGTAACCTGAGGAGGCATAGGGCACAGGAGATGCCGAGCCGTGCATGTGGGGCGAGTGTGAATGCACGCCTGGGAGAGCAGACCGGGCGGATGGGCCGGATGGAGTGGATGGCATGGAGGAGGAGGTGGATGGCCGCATGCTGCTGCCTGGGATGCTGCTTCCATGCATGGGCCCACCATACATGCTGTATGCTCCCACCCCTCCCACAGGCCTTCCCATGCCGTAGCTCCCTCCGCCATACCCATACACATGGCTGGTATACCCTGACGCATCCTGGCTGTGCGTGTAACTCTGAGTGTGTGGGCGGGTGTGTGGGTGCGAGTGGGCGTAGTGAGGCGGCATGGGGATGTGGCTAGGGAGATGGTTCGGCGTGAGAGGCAGCAGGTGGGGCGGCAGGAGCGGGCCTTGTGGGGCGCCTCGCATGTATGCTGCTACCTCCTCTGCGTAGTGTGTGTTTATCTCAAACACCAGATGCACGCCTCCCATCTGCCCACCGTACAGCATGCACCACAGAGGGGAGAGTGAGGGGAAAGACTCAGATTCAGGAGGCTGGCATGGGATGAGGTGGCATGGGGTGACGTGGCACGGGTTGATGTGGCATGGACAGAGGTGGGATGAAATAATACGGGATTCCAAGCCCGTCATGCTCGCTACACAGCAACGCTTGCAGCATCCAGTGGTCGCTGCTGACCTCAATGAGGCAGCTGTTAGCGAGGATGGCCTGCTGGCCCGGCTCCACAGGCACCTTGTTGACCGTCATGTCCCTGCGCCCCTCGTTGCTCAGGTAGAAGCATGCATCCGCCCTCAGCTCTATCACCGCCTGCCGGGGAGAGAGGGCGCGGCGGCACGGAGCGAAGGCATGGGAGGGCATGGAGGCAGGAGAGGAGGGACGAGAGGAGGGAGAGGAGGGAGGGAAGGGGGCTTAGGTGTGTGAGTGCACGCTGGGGGGTGGGGCGGAGAAAATGGAGGGAGCATCTGTGCTACTGAGTAAACATGGGGGTGTGAGTGTGGGTGTGCAAGCATAAGAGCTCGTGAATGCGAACATACGAGCCTGTGAATGAAATCTGACCTACAGAGCCGGGAAGGTGGGTGGGTGGGTGCTCACCTGCAGCCGTGAGACCTTGTTGGCTCGCCCTTCCTCTGACAGATCAATGTCCACGTCATTGTCCTCCGTGCGCCGACCAATTGACACCTGGCACGCAGCCATTGGTGCGCAGCACGCAGGTTGCATGAGACAGGAGAGGGGCAGAGAATGGGAAGAGGGTGGGTTCAAGAGGGAAATGGGCAAGTGTGTTTTGCGACGACTCACTCCCACTCCAACCACCCACTCGCACTGCCACCCACACCCACACCCTCCCCCCTCCTCCCTTCCTCTTCCACACGCACACGCACGTGCATGCACGTGCGGGCACGCACCTCGGTCTTGAACATGGGGAAGCGGGTGCGGCGGCCATAGAGCAGCGCGAGGGCGCCTCTGCGCGTGAGCTGCCTGCGCATGGCCGCCGCACTGCACCGCTCCAGCGGCAGCACCGCGTGGCGCTGCGACCCGTACAGCACGCGCGCCGCTGGTAGATGGCGGAGGAGGAGGAGGTGGAGGGGGGGGGTAGAGAGGTGGGCGCAGAAGGAGGGGGGGTGTGGAGACGGGGGAGCAGCGCGCCGGGGGCGGGGGGGGGCAGAGAGAGCAGCGCGCAGAGAGAAAAGAGAAAATCATGAGGAGCTGATTGGTCATTTGTGAAGAACGGGGACGGATGGCACGAGCTGAGATGCAAAGTTCATGAAGATGGAGAGGGTGGTGGAGGCAAGGGATGGTTCAGGCCGCTTTGCATGCGACCGCAGTGACGTTCAATGCGCCCCATCCGCCCCATCCCCCCCCCATCCGCCCCATCCGCCCCATCCCCCCCCCATCCGCCCCATCCCCCCCGTGCGCCCCATCCGCCCCATCCGCCCCATCCGCTACAAGAGTGAGATGGGTGCATGACCCACCTGTGCGGGCGGGCATGACCTCGTCAGCAGAGGGATCTAGGTCCATGTCCAACACCTGGTGCCAGGGGAGGAGGAAGGGAGGAGAGGGTTGTGGTGTGAGAGGTCACGCGAAGGACTGACGTGCTGAGGGATCCAGGTCCATGTCCAGTACCTGGTGCCAGGGGAGGAGGGGGGGAAGGGGAGGGGGGGGTTGTGTGAGGTCAAGGACTCCAAGCTCATGTCCAGGGGGGTTCAGGGGGGAGTGGGGTCGACGCGAATTGGAAGGAAGGAGGGGGGGCGAATTGTGTGGTAGCGAGGGATGATGCTGGAGGAGGGAAAGCACGGGAGGGGGGATGGTGTGCAGTGAGGGAAGCAAGGAGCAACGCGAGGAGAAATCACTGTTGCAAGTCCTTGCTCACCATCTCCTCTGCATCGGAGAAGTGAAGTGAGTCCGTGTCACTCTCTGGCTCCTCCTCCTCCACTTCCCCCGCCCCTCCCTCTTCCCTCACCCTTCTGCCCCTCTGCTCATCCGTGAAACCAACACCCCTCCGCACCTCTTCTCCTCCTCCTCTTACCCCCTTCCCTCCTCCTCCTCCTCCGCCTCCTTCTCCTCCTCCGCCTACTCCTCCTCCTCCTCCTCCTCCCTCCTGTCTCATGTCCCTCTCCTCGGCCCCATGCAACGGCATCCCATCTTGACCGCCCTGCAGTTCACCCACTAGAGCGCTCACACCACCACTCGCCAGCACACACAGCATGCGGTCGAAACTCGCCTCCTCCTCTCCACTTCCACCCACACCCCTCCCCTTCTCCTCCTCCCCATTCCGCACATCCCCTTCCTCTCTCCTCTCATCATCATCTGTTGCTGCTGCTGCTTCAGCTCCTTTTCCTGCACCACCCTCCTCTCTCTGCCTCTTCCTAACCCCACGCCCCTTCTCCTCCCCTCGGCCTTCCTCACCCACACAACCCGCCTCCTCCTCGCAACCCCCCACTTGCTGCCTCCCATCCCCAACACCACCTCCCCCTCCCCCCTCTCCCTTCCCACCTTCCTGTCTCCCCATTCTATCATCTCTCCCCCCCACCCCTCCCCCAACGGCTCCTCCTGCTCTCAACCCACCTCCTCCACTCCCCCCACAGCCGCCCTTTGCCCCTTCTCCCTCTCGCCTCTTCCTCAGTCTGTAATAAGCAGCACGCACCACTCTTGGCCTCCTCACAACACCCCGGCGCCCCTCGCCCGTCCCCCTGCTCTCACGCGCTGCTCCTCCCGCCCTGTTACCAGTACCACCGCCAGCAGCAGGCACATGGCGGCTGTGCGCATTCAAGCCTGCTGCATTGCCGCCTTGCGAGTGTAGGGAGCGGGAAGCAGGGGCACCAGCACCACCAGCACCACCCCCAGCACCACCACCAGCACGATCATCCAACCCCCCAGCACCAGCAGCGCCACCAGCACCAGCAGTAGCACCGGGAAACACAGCCTCACCTCCAATCGACCTCCCCTCTCCCCTTTCCTCCCCCTCCCCACTCTCCCCCTCCGCTCCCGCTCTTCCCCCGCCTCCCCCCCCGTCGCCCTCTCCCGCGCCCCTCCCCATGGCCCTGGCGGCGTCCGCCATCTCCGCCTGGGCGATGCGCGCGGCCGCCAGGGGGCTCTCCAGCGGGTGGTACAGCACCGCGCGCCACCGCGCGCGCAGCTCCTTCAGGGAGAAGCGCCGCGAGAACCGCAGCGCCCCGCGCGCCAGCGCCTCCATGGCCATGCCCGCCTGGGGAGGGATGCGCGCGGAGATGAGCGAATGGAAGGGGGGGTGGGGAGAAGAAGGGGGGGGTGGGCGGGGGGGGGGAAAGAGGGGGGGAGGGCGGTGGGGAAGAGGGGAGGGCGGGGGCGGGCAAGGCTTCAGCAGATGCACGCGACGGGAAGGGAGGTGTGCTTTTGGCGGACCAGGTGGATGATTCATGGGGGAAATGACTAGGGGTTGGGCGGCGGAGTGTGTCCCCAACGACTGGATCTTCTCTCTTTCAATGGTAATTTATAAGCTTCCTGCGCCACCCCTCCTCCTTCATACCACCGTGCTCCCCTTTTTCCCTTCCAGCTTCTCGCCTCTCTGCACTCTTTCCCTTTCCCCCCTCCCTTCCCGAGCCACCCACTCCCTTCCCCCCCCACGCACGCGCGCACCTCCATTGCGCGCCAGAGCGTGCGGTCGTCCGCGACGGTCCAGCAGGAGAAGTCCGGGGGCGGTTCCACCGCCGCCACCAGCCCGCCCGTGCCCACGCCTGGCGCTGCCGCCGCCGCCACCGCCGCCGCCGCTGCCGTCGCTGCACGGGGTTGCGCTGCGGATCGCGCACGGGGAGCGGGGGTAGGGGGAGTGACGAGGCGGGAGAATGGGAAAGAGTAGAGAAAATGAATATCCAAGGGAAGCGATGGCCTCTGAATAATCGGAGAGGGAATGCACGCATGGAATATCATGGAATATCATGGAATATCATGGTGGGATGCGGTGGAGAGGGGCAACGGGGCGCACGGGGGGCGAGCGACGTCTTGAGGCGCTTGATGGGCGACGACGGCGGACTGGACGGCGCAGAGCGCCGCCGCATGGGGGAGGACGGCGGACTTAACGGGGAGGGCCGCCGCGCGGAAGGAGCAGGTCGCATGGCGGTAGGTGAGGTGGAGAAGAGCGAGAGGCGAGGTACGGTTAGAACGGCGAGATTCGGCCTGCGTTAGGACGCGCCGACTGGAGAAAATGAAGTTTGCTCATAAGGTGTTGCCGGTAGAGCAATAAGATGTCTTGGCGAGGCACAGATGAAATAATCCCTTATGTACTAACCTGCGCCTGACAACTGCTGTCTGAAACTGACATGGGACAATGTAAAACATGGCTGACCTCAAGAGGCCTTTTCCCACACTGGAAAAAATGCTTCACTCCGAAAGTGAAGTGGCAACTTCTCGGACTGGCGTCCTTGATTCCATATTTTTTTTTAGAGCAACTAAAGGCTAAACATTATTATTCTTCTTTTGTTTGTATGTTAAACAATGCAGTACTTTTACAAGTAGTATACTCAAGGTGGACAATCAGGCTTAACAGTTACACTGTAGTGCACTTATACAGGATTCTCAAACACAACATTGTTCGTAGTGGAGGGCAATTTCGGTGCTGGGAAGGGAAGCGCATGTCGGAGATACACGAAGAACCTTTCAAGCCTACAAGTCAACAAGTTTTTGGCCCCCCTACGATGACGAGCCCCCCACCACCCACCCACCACATAGACTTGTTTCCGCCAACACCTCTTGTCCCCCTAGTGGGGGCCAAGGCGACCTTTGCAGCATTTGGCACCTGACCGCCGAGTCGCACCAGATTCAGCCCATCCGATCCGCAATCCTGGCCAACCAGACACACCCAGGGTGTTCAGATCTGACGGTGGCCCGCCTCACCCCGTGCTCGCGCCCCTATCCGCCCATCACCGATCAGACATAGGTCCAGCCAGGTTCACTCCACACCAATCCAGACACGGCATCAGGGGAAGAGAGCCCCTTCGCGTACTGTACCGACGGTGCCGAGGAGCTGCCTTGATACACTCACCCACATACAAAACAGGCTTGGTTCTTCATTTTCATTTACACCTGATCCACAACTAGAACCTTCTGTCACTCCAGTGCAGCAGCTCATACATTCTTCTCTCTACTTATCAGCCCTTTCGGCTTCCTCCACCACTAAATCTCTTATTTTTTGCTACTAGCAGCAGCATCATGGCAAGGCTCGTCACGGCTCTCCTTTGCGTCATGCTTGTCGTGATCTCCGGCGCGGTTGACGTGGCGGAGGCGAGAGTGAACCGCAAAGAAGTGCTACAAGCCATCAAAATCCTTCGACGCTCGCCACGTCTTCCGAAAGCGCTTGCGGCATCTACGGCCCTCGAGGACCTCTGTAAGACCGATGCCGCTTCTGATCTACTTGTCCGTCCCCTTCCGTGCTATGCTGCTACCTTTGCTCAAATAGCGCCGACGGCAAACCTCCCTGCTTTTCACCATGCAAGCGCCATCTCCTGCGAGACTCGTAACATTGTTCGAATCGGAACCCCGCGTATCATCACGATACTGTTGCCCCTCATTCTCCAAACCCTCTCTTCTCACTCATGAATCCCCTTTCCCTCCGCCCCGCGATCTCCTCTGCGCAGTTCGCGCCGCCATGGGGAGCTCCAGCGGTCCGATGACACTCCTCGTGCCCGCGGATATGGGTTACGTGCAGTCGCGGCTCAACAACCAGGTCTTCACGCTCAAGCAGATGAACACCATTCGCAAGTACCACGTCGTCAGCGGACTCGTCAGAGTCGCCGACATCCAGGCCCTGCCACGTGGCAGCACGCTCGCGACCAACGAGGGGTCCGCGATTAAGAAGATCACGCCGCCGTCGCTGCCTGTGGTGTTGCTGAAGGGCCGCGACGCGCTGCCGTCGATGGTGGTGGGAGGCGACGTGTATGTGGGGAAGACGCTTGCAGTGCATATCGTATCCACCATGCTCATCCCCGCCGACGTCTAGACCATGGAGATTGCACTTCGTCGCTGCGGCGACAGGTACTCCAAGCAGCATCTCGCTGCTTGCTGACTTCTCCTCGGTGCTCAGTGTTCTGATTTATTCATGGCATTGCAATGCCGTGCATTGTTTGCCCGCGTTTTCCCTGCCATCCCCTATGGTGTCACGTCAGAGGGTGTCTGTCGATGTGCGCAGCTCCTTGTTGCGCCAGCCTTTGGATTCTAGCGGACAGTGTTTTTGTCTGCTCGTACTGAGTGACAGCATAGAGGAGTGCAGGGAAGATAATGTGTGTGCTCTGTAGGCCCTTGTATTACTTTTCTGAATACAGTTGCTGATTCCAGTTCAATGAAATTTTTCGAAAAGTGTGTAACACTTTCTAAAAATGCGTATTTTGAAAGCGCAGCTGACTGTCACGAAGCAAAGCAATGGCGAATTACAATTCGCCGAGTAAATAACGAGGGTTCGAGGCCATTCGGCCTCCACCCACGACTTCATTTCGGAACTTTGCAGTTCCACTCCCCACCCACCCACCCTAGTTGTATATCTGTATAATCCATCCATAGTTGGACGAGAATGTTGTATTACTGCAATTGTAATGAAGCCCGTTGCCTTTGCAAGAACAGAAAGCAAGCTTTCTCAATTTGCTTTTCTGAGTCTTAAGCTTGATGCTAGGAGGTGCTGGGCTGCAAGGTTTTTGGATCTATGTTCAGCATTGACATGAGGTTGTTAGCAGAGTCCTATCCAGCTTGTTGTCCTACCTCTAAGCTCAGTTTCCCCTGATACCGATACCTTCCTTTGACCAACCAAAACAAGGAAGCAGGAGTTCTGGTGGCTTTGGTACACAAGCCTTGTCCTGTCAAAAGCATGCTTCCTTTGGTGCACAAGCCCCGTAATTAGCACAATGCTTTGATGCACAAGCTTGTATGGATCCTGATTCCTGCCCTAATGCACAGGCCCTGTGGTTAGCATGCTCTGCTGCATACATCCTGTTGCTTTAGTGCCCATATGCACATGAATTCTGGACACTATGTTCAGATCGTTAAAGCCAGCAGCTAAAATAGTGACCCCCCCCTTCTAGTTGGATCCACTAGATTATCAAAGTTTTTTTGTAATGTTTTGAAAAGTTGAAGTGTCGTGTGTGTGGGTTTTTTTCACACCTCCAGACGAGTTCCGAATGAACAGGCATCAAAAGTACCTTCTCAATTCTGATTGGCAGCCAAATACTTGCACGTACATCTGCGATTTTTGTGCAAGGTTGAGCGACGTGCAATGTCACATTCACTAGAGTTGTGACTTCACCAAATTCGCGTCTAGCAGCAGCACAGGCAAATTGTCAAGCACAAACATGTGTAAGATATGAGAGTGGAATAGATGGGAGGGGAGGACGTGAGCGAGAGGAGATGAAGTGGGAGACGGGAGGGAGAGCGCGAAGGCGACGGGAGGGAGAGCGCGAAGGCGACGGGAGGGAGAGCGCGAAGGCGACGGGAAGGAGAGCGCGTAGGCGACGGGAAGGAGAGCGCGTAGGCGACGGGATGGAGAGCGCGAAGGTGAGCGATGGGGCGACGACTGCATCGAGGGTGACCCGCGAAGGTGATGGGAGGGACAGCGGACGAACGACTGGAGGGTAGGGGAGATGGCGAAGGCGCGAGACAGGAAACTAGCCCCTGCGGAAGTGCAACGATCGCCTGCGGAAGGGACTTAATGTACGATACTAAGCTACGCGACAGTCTTACGCATTCCTGCAGGGTCGATAGTTACTTACCTTGGCCACAAACACCTATTGTTGTCAGCTAAATATGCTAGGAATAAAACTAGTGACTTGATGGAGAGCAGCTGGTCATGAAACCCAGTTCCAACTTGAAACCAACGTTGGCCTAGCGACGGAAACCATCGCCAGGCAACAGTCGTGCAGGTGTAGCACGTAGACGTGCGACGAGGGAGATCCGGATGGAAAAACATTTTGGCGGGAACAAGACAAGCAGAAAGTTGGCGAAAGCCAATCACTTTTGTTCAAAGTGCTGCTCGTTTTCTTTGGAACAGTGCTCTATCGGCCCGCTCTCTGCAGCACCATTTCAAGTTGGGACAGGGTTCATTATTTTATATTCTGGTTTTAAGCCTGTAGTTATGTTCTGGTAAGAAGCCCTCTCAATGAGTATCCCATGGACCATCCCTGTGATTAGCGTGCCACGAGGCACAAGCCCTGTAATTAGCATGCCACGCACGAGATGTGATTAGCTGTGGTTACCCCAGCAACTTTCCCTGTGGTTAGCCCTGTGGTTAGCCCTGTGGTTATCCCTGTGTTTAGCCCTTTGGTTAGCCCTGTGTTTAGCCCTGTAGTTAGCCCTGTGGTTAGCCCTGTGGTTAGCCCTGTGGTTATCCCTGTGTTTAGCCCTTTGGTTAGCCCTGTGTTTAGCCCTGTAGTTAGCCCTGTAGCTAGCCCCGTGGTTAGCCCTGTGGTTAGCCCTGTGTTTGGTCCTGTGGTTAGCCCTGTGGTTAGCCCTGTGGTTAGCCCTGCGAGCCTTGCCTACGCAGGGGGTTGCTGAGGGGTGGTAGGTCGCAGAGGGAGGTGGGTTGCAGGGGGAGGAATAGGGAGGGGCAATGCAGTGAGGGGGAGAGGATGTGGGGAAATGCCTACGAAGGGGGAGGGGGGTTGGAGGAGAGGGGACGGCACGGGATGGGATGGAGTAAGGGGGGGTGGGTGGGATGGGATTTGGGGGGGTCAAGTCAAGGAGGAGAAGAGGGGGGGGGGGGGAGGATATCACACCTGAGAGTGTTACTAGTCTAGATAGATAGCCTATCTACTCTAGCATATTTGTTCTCCATCTTCCGTCTTGCAAGCACGTGGTTGTCCTGCAAGCAGACGAGAGGAGGCGGCAAGGCAGACGAGAGTTGAGCTTCTCTATGCGATGAAATCAAACACGATGTAAATTTATGGGTGTTGTCTGATTGGGGTACACAATTTACATGATTTGGATACCTACACAATGTACAGATATGACATGATACAATACATGATATGATGTGATATGATATGATGTGATATGCTGTGATATGATATGATAGAATAAGCTGTGTTGGAAGTTCAGTCTGTGTTTGGTTGTTTTTCCTCACCTTCACAAACGACAATGAGGTCTTCACCAGTTGGCCACTCCAGTTGGTTCCACCAGGCAAACACAATCTCCGCCTCACCAGTCCAATCCTGTCAAGTCAACAACACACACAAAACGAAGCAGCAAAAGAGCGATGGATATGAGAGACAAAGAGAAAATCGAAGGACACGAGCATGTCAGCTAATGATGAAGATTATGGTTATCTTCTGTTAAAAAATCAGTCACAGCGGAATTGTGTTGCCAGGCAGAGAGAGAACGGCCATGAAAGGCATAGGACTGTGAGACATGGACAGGAAGTGTGGGGATGGAAGGGGTATTGGCGTGCCATGCAAGTGTGGTGCAGAAGAGAAATGGGTGGGTGCAGAAACTCACCACTAGAAAAGTCCTCAAAAGCACATGCTATTCTTGTGCACCCTCGTCCTCCAATGCCGCAGCCAAAATGTTGCTTCATCCACTGCTGCTGATCAGACCTGAAGGAAGAACACCAGGGAAAAAGGCATATGAAGAATGAGGAGAGGAAGAGCCGAGAAATAAAGAATGTGAAGAAAGAGGGGAGGAAGAGCCGAGAAATAAGGCATCCGAAGGTCGAGGAGCGAAGATAACGGAAATGAGAAACAGAGAGGAGATGCAACCGAGAGGCCGACAAAGGGAAATTGGGGGCAGAGAAGAAGAGTGCTGAGGAGCAGCATTACCATAAGAAAACGGCCCGATTGACTTGACCTCGCCTGTAGTCCCTCCCATGCCACCATTGCCGTGCCTGTTTGTCAGATGGCGTGCAGGAGGGTATCAGAGGAGAGAAGGCGGCGTGACGAAGCGGAGGGAAGGAAGCGAGAGTGGACGGCGCATAGAGCTTTGAGGAGATGAAGGACAGGAGGGGACAAGGAACGTACCGCGGAAAAATGTATCAATTAATTCGCCCTTGCTTGTTTCCCCTTGCTGATATTGCTTCTGCTGCCACTTTCATGCTATGCTGTGCTTGACTGCAGGATGAAGGCAGGGGAGGAGGAGACAAGGAAGGTGTGGGAGGAGCAGCGATGATGTTCAAATCAAAGTAGAAAGAGAGAGGGCTGGCTAGGCGAGGGGATCTTAGCATGCAACATGCGAATGCCCGCTTGACCGAAAAGACAGAAAAGGAGTGGCAAGGGAGACTAGACTGAGGAGCAGCACGAGGAGCTTACCACATCGTGTCTGCCCATTGTGTTCCCTTCGGCTCCCCATTTGCTGTCTCACCTTGCTGTCCTCGCCTCCTGGAAGAGAGAGAGGGAAAGGAAGAGTGGTGACAGGGAAGAAAATATGGAGAGAAGGCCGAAGGTGGAGACATACGGAACTGAATGGGGGGAAGGACGGGGGGGTGGGGGGAAAGAGAGTGGGAGGCAAGGAGGCAACTGCAAGTGAGTGGGAGGCAAGGAGGCAATTGCACGTGAGTGGGAGGCAATGAGGCAATTGCAAGTGAGTGGGAGGCAATGAGGCAATTGCAAAGGATGAGATTGACAGAAAGGTGAGAGTGAGGCGGCGCAGTAACACCTAGCGATGCGTAGAGGATCAAAGGAGCAGGCCACAGCAAATGCGAAGGAGACGTATCTGTCAGAGGAGACTCACCACATCACAGAACTTCTCTCTCACATATGTGCTCCTTGATCTCGGCTCCCACTTGTTTGCTCCCTCTGCGTCCTCCCCTGCTCCCGAACACAGGAGATGAACAAGGAAAACAACAAGGAAGGAGGGCGATCGAATAAATGTGAAAGCCAGGCTACGGCGAGGAGAAGAGGAGCGGTACAAGAGAAGAACTTCAGGACAGGAGACTAAGGAAAACAAGAACAAGATGACGGAAGGAGGACAACAGAGTGTAAAGGATAAGGCGAACCTTTCCACGTGCGCTGCAGTAACCTCTTGTCC